AACGACAATTTATATTAATTATTTAACTAACTAATGTAAAAATGTTCTTTCCATTAATGTTTATCAATAATGTTAATGTTTGTTTGATAATTTAACAAATAATTTATTCAGGATTTACTTTATATTGAGTCTGCAAATCAAAGATATGTAGTGTTGATATTAATATTTAATTTTTGTCAATTATTTTATTGACATGCACTTTTGAAATATTTTATTTTAAATTTATTTTATATCAGTTTTAAAAATAATTAACATCATAAATACTTTCTACATTAATTCTAAAACAATCAAAGTAAAAAGTTTTATAATTTTTAACTTTTATAGTTATATTTTTAATAATTAACGAGATAAATTTTTTTTACATCAATTCTAAAACAATCAAAGTAAAAAATTTTATAACTTTTAACTCTTATAGTCCTATCTTTTACAAAGTGACGCAATTTTTTACTTTTGAAATGATATTACTTTTAATATTAAATTTTAATTTATACAAATTATATATTTATTTTATTTAACTCTAATAAAGATTTCGACGTTAAAATTTTAACATTTTTTCATTTTTCTATTTTTTTAACCTTTTATATTAGTTCAATTAAAACTTATATAGAAAGTAATTGTTATATCGATTTAAATTAAATTGATATAATTTTTTTTATATTAGTTATTTTGATAGTTGTATTTAAAAGTGTATGTTATATTTAAAAATAAAATCATACTTACTTTCATATTTAAAATTAAATTTAGGGTTTTTTTTTTTCCTGTTTCTGTTTTGAATCCGTTCCATTATTATTGTGGCATGTATTCGAATTTGTGATAATTTTTTTCTTTTGAGTTAAAATTCCACAAGGCCAACCCATTCTTACTTTCATCTAAGAATAATAAGGAAGCAATTTTCTATTGCTTCATATGAACACTACACTTACAATCACATGTTTTGTTCTTATCACTCAAACTGACGTTGTCTTAATAATTCAATTAATTTTAATTTATAAATATTTTAATATAGTCAATATTTATCTCAAAGTTTTAATATATCTTTATACTTATCTTTTAATAATTAAAAAATATAACAATAAAAGATAATTTATTTTATATATATATATATATATATATATTATTTTTCTCGTTTTATCTTATTTCATCACTTGCTATTTATATTAATTATATTTCATTAAGTATATACACCTAAAAGAATATTTACTAAATATTTTCCTAACTTAATGAAACAAAACTCATAAATTAATAAAAAAAAAAACAATAACACAATGTACAGGTTAATTATTTTTCCTTCAATAAAAAAAGATTGAAAAATGGAGAGGAAAGTAAATAAAAAGAATTCTGCAACATCAACCAACACTCATACAAGAAATTCAAACAAAAACATTTCAATTTAGCTCCATTCAAGTAACACATTCTGTTTGTTGAACAAATGTGGATTTGCATATTTAGAATGCACTAACATTCATTTTCTCATGTCTACGTAGAATTATCCTCACCTTTTATTTTATTTATTAGTAAGAGAGTATTAAATTAATATAGATTGCACAGTTATTTTCTTTGAAATTCTATTTTATTATTTTTGTTTTCCTTTTTAGTTTGAGGTTACATTTTCTTAGGAATTTTTAGAACATCAGTGACAGTGTTGTTCATTGGATTTGTAGCATGGCTTATCAAGCTATTCAACATCCTCCTCCCAGTATATGTGGCTCTCCTAGTGGACCTCCTATAACTGCACCCAGAATCAAACTAAGAAATGGAAGGAATTCAGCCTACAAAGATAGAGGCATGGTGTTCCAAAACAAGTGACCAAGCATAAAATAGTCTTTGTTCATGGTTTTGATGCTTGCAGGCATGATGCCTATGCTACAATTATTTATTTATTTATTATTATTATATTTATTATTATTGCTTTCATGACATTCTCTGCTATCTTTGGAATTGTAGTATTTGAATTTATGGTGGGATTGCACAGGAAGTTACTGAGGACTTGGGGTTCTACACTATCTTTTGATAGGCCTGGTTATGGGGAAAGTGATCCTCATCCAAATCAAACAGTAAAAAGTCTGGCACTAGATGTAGAAGGACTTGCTGATAAATTAGGACTAGGTTTCAAATTCAACATAATAGGTTTCTCTTTGGGTGGCCAAGTTGTTTAGAGGTGCCTTAAGTACATCCCCACAGGTATGATTTATTCAGGTTAAATGTAATTTTGTTGGCTAAACGGGAAAAAAAAAAATTTTGAAAAAAAAATGGTATGAAAATTAAATGTTTGCATCCTCTTGCTTAAATTTATACTTCAGTGGTGTGAATGATACAAGATTAGGCAGAGTTCTGATCTAGGCTGCTCGAAATTGGGTGAGGTAATTGTACTTTTCTATGGTGATAAATGTAATTAGGGGCTGAATTTGCAAAGAATAGAGTGAATAGAAGAATAAATGAAATCCAGGCTTCGCATGTAGGCATCACACATCTTTGATGGATAAAATTTTCTCTGAAATGAACTGTTCATTGTTCTGTTGCAGAGGTAGATATATTAAAATATACAGCACATGATGGAACTGGATCGGATTCTAAAGGAAATAATGGTTTTTTTATTGATGAACCTTAAATCCCAATTGCTATATACCAATATCTTCTAGAGTGTAAGATACAAAATATATGATTTCTTTGGATATTAGTGAAATTAGGACTCTCCTCACTCTCTAACCCTTTGCTTTTTCAATGGTGACAGGTTAGCAAGTGCAATGCTCACAGCATCACTTGTGAACTACTGGTGGACTGGTCTTCCCGCAAAATTAACTAGTGAAGTATTTTTCCAACAAAACTACAAGATCAGTGGACAGCTTGTGTTGCTCACTACATACCGTGGCTAACTTATGATGGAACACTCAAAAATGGTTCCCAGCTTCTTGTTTAATTGCTGATAGTGCAGATCTTTTTACCCTTCAAGACAAAGAACTTATGCCTAAAAGGTTTGGTGGAAAGAATCATGTGTTATGTGGTTTATAGAATGAAAGAATCAATTGGTTAGATTCATACCAATTGATTTTGCTATTTGTCGGTGACTGTTGTGTACCTAGATCAGAACTTAACCATCCAAAATGTGTTTGTCTAATTGTTTAATGCTGCATTTGAAGCACTGCATAACTCCATCAAAAGCCAAATTTTAATTTCAGTAGAACCATAATAATCATTTAGAGCAACTGAGCAAGGTCTTGTATGATATACCCGACTCTAATTAGAATTTACACTTTCTGTAACCAGGACTACATTTGGAAAAGACTGGATTATTTAAATAATTATCATTCATTCATTTATTAGTATCAAATTAGTAGTTGGGGAAAATATTAGACTTCTTGATAAACCTTTTTGGTTTTTATCATTTAGTTTATACATGGATTACTGTGGGAAAAATATAGCCCAAAACTCGTTAATCAAGGTTTATAAACTTTTAGTTTATGTCTTAGCATCACTCCTTTGCATAGAATTATATAGTTGTTTTATTTCCTATCTATACATTGGAAAATTGACATGAAATTTTTATCCTTTATCCTTTCCAGCCCCTAATGATCAATATATACATTATGTGGCATCCATAGGCTCAGGTAAGACAGCAAGGAGAACATGAAACTGTCCACCGAGACTTAATTCTTGGATTTGGTAGCTGGGAGTCCTTTGGATTTGGAAAATCCATTTCTAAATAATGAAGATTCGGTCCACATTTGGCAAGGAGATGAAGATTTGATAGTGCCTGTTAAAGTGCAATACATTGCACAAAAGCTTCCATGGATTCAGTATCATGACTCATGAGCTTCAAGGTGCTGGTCACTTGTTCGCTCATGCTGATGGTACGAGTGATTCTACTATTAAAGTCACTTTTAAGTAGGAACTAAACTTTCTGTGTCAGGAGAGGTCAACGTTGGCATTTTATATTTCTTTTACAGAGACTTCAAATTACTTTTATTATTATTAGTAGTCCTTGTGTATTTTATTAAAATCTCGATTATGGGCATAAAAATCACCTTGCATTGCATGGGATAAAATGTACAAAATAATAATATTTTTTTTGTCAACTAAAAAGTTAATATTATCTTATTATTAGTAGTCCTTTAAGCCCAAACTTGTTTCAACCTTGCCCGGAATTTTAAATTTTAGACGTAAGGGAGTATGCCCGGCCCAAAATCATTTAGTTTTGGAAGCATTTTTGCAAACAATTAATGTGTACTTGTATTCTGCTAAATAAAATTGATTACTCCCTCCGTTTTCTTTTATCAATCCAAATATAAAAGATATATGTAAATTACGAACTATACTCAATATCTTTATTAAAGTTAGTTTATAAAAATAAACAAACATGTTACAATTACAAATAAATATATTTTTTTTATCAAGTTCTGCTCGTATAGAAAAGAAAATAATCCATGAACCTTAATTAGCCAGGAGTTCACAATTTTTCAGTCTCTGAGAATTAAAAAATTTTTTTTTTTACTTATATATAATTTTTACTCGTTGTTTCTCAATACTTTAATTGCGTGTGCTTTTGTTATATTACATAAAATAATATTATTTTTAATATTAAAATTTAAGAAATATATTTTAATTTTTTTTATTCTTAAATAAGTCTAGCTTAAAACATAAAGCGTAAAGTGTTAATAATTCTTATATAAAAATTTGTAATAAAAACATGAATACGTGTTGACCCCATAATATACTCTGCACTAAAACAATGCTGAGAGGCGACACCTGTCCCATACGTGGCAATGGCATGCGATGTGATCGAGTTGGGAACTTGGCCTCCAAAATTTCCTCTCTATTGCGGTATTTGACAATTCTTAATTAATTATTTAATGCATTTTTTTTGTGGGGTACCCTTACGCGCAATGAATCATTTAGAGGAAGATGGTCCCTTAAGTTGCAGGGCATTGTTCCTTATAGCTACCTCTTTCTGAGTTTGCGTTTGTTTTAAATAAAATTCAACAAACACTGTGTTGGTGCGGTCTCTGCTCAAACTCAACACAAACATCTCATCCTCAGTATCATAATTATTAAGCTCTGTAACTTTGCCACTGCTACGAAAGGAACTTCATCGATCCTCGCATTCGATCGAACTTGAACTTCCAGGTATCTATTTCCCTATCTATTATGTAGTTAACTATGGTTGTAGATCATATTTTTAATTTTTAGTAATCAGAAATTTTTTTGTTGCCACCTGAGAGAGAAAGAAGAGAGAAAAAATGGTAAATATAATGTGATGAATAAAAAATGTTAAATAGATATTGATATTAAATATTTATGAATTATAGTTATTTTTACCTCAGTTGCATCGATAAGAGAATGGCTCTTCTCTTTGTCATGTTTGTCGTAGATTATTAGGTTGTCTCATCATTTTTAATTATGTTAATGATGTTCTCTACATCTGTATGAATTTCGGCCACTAAGTGATTTCCAAAGGAGGAAAGATTCTTTTCCTTCAACGTCAAACAGCATCGAACTTTCTACCCACCAAATATTCCTCAGTAGTAAATGTATACTTTTTGTTCAAAGGATTAAGATTAATTACATATCTTCATCCCATAATTTTGTAATAATTTTCAAGGCAAGTGAATAAAGATTTTCTTTTCTTTAGCAATCGGCTCAAGCTATGCTGAAACATAGCTGTAGCCTGTAGGAAACTTGAAAACGGAAAATGACGATTTCATTTGTTTTTAATTTTAATCATTGATATTTTAAGGAATATTTCTTCGAGCCAAACCTAAACATAAACCTACCTCTTTTATTTTGGCACAAATATTAGTTGTAAATAAGAAGTAAAGCAGGTCCAGGAACTCAGGGAGCTGTGTAAAGATAAAGGAGCTCCAATTTGTAATTTTAAATTTGTTCTCCTTAGATTACTTAGGTTAGAAGATTTTATGTACAAATTTTTAATTCATTTTAATAAGGCTTTTAATATAACTTATTAAAACAACTTCTTTTACTTTAATATTAAAAAAAATTACCTACGAAGAGCTTATTGAATTAAGTTATGTATATTTAGCTATGCAGCGAGAAGGTTCCAAGCCTGCAGCGCTGTTCTGTGGTGAATGAAACCAATAATTGCTTCGTTTTTGCATAGACCGGTAATGTCCTGTGAAATAGTGGATTTTCTGCGTGAAGTTCAGTGGAATTTGGTTTTGGATAATATTAAATGAAGTAAGGTATTTGTAAAGAATCTTGGTGCACCCAAAGCCGAGAAAAATGAATAATTGAGTATGATGGAGGTCCACCAACCCCCATGTGAAATACCTACTCACCAACTGTTGTATTGAAAATACCAGTTATACAAATTGAAAACTATTTCTGTTCTTTTAAAGATAATATAATTTAATTTTAGAAGCAATAGTATTCTTTTTACTTTATATTTTAATAATTTTTTATTTCTTTCTATCATTATTTCACACCTTTTTCTCTTCTCTTATCTCTTTCTTTTATTGCAAAATTATTGTAAAATTTGAAATGAGAGTAACATTACTCAATTTTCAATACTAATAATGAAATTCGCATTTATGAGAATATGGAGGAATTGGAATATATTTTTTATATTTTATGTGATTGAATTAGTTTTATGTAAATTTCACTTATTAACATACATTATTGAGGATTATTCATATAAATTTTATCCAGGAAGTATTACTTCTGCTTTTTTTATCTGCCCATGTAAAATAATATACAAATTAAAAGTATAATTAATATCTTTATTTACATGAAATTATTTTCACATTTTAAAATTTTAATACATTATTATCATTTATGATAAATGGGTAAAATATTTCAAAAAATATATTGTTTTATCCTAAATTTTAAAATTCATAAAGACACCCACACATGTTGTGGGTAAATTTTTTTTATTTACATTATTTATAAAAAATAATAATAAAAGTGGAAAGCTTAATATCTTCTGAATGAGGATACAAACAGACCTGAAGGCTCGTTGACATCTTATATTTGTAAGGTTCTTAACTAAGAGAAAGCTGGCGTTGGTTTAGTCTTGAGCTTACAATTACACTTATTTGTCAACACATTATTTAGCCTAAGTTTACACTGGTTTGAAAATCTTGCATTTGTAATTTTTACTGTAGTAGCATCACACCACCTTTTATTATGTTACCAATTCAGCTTCATTATTTTCGCGTACTGACAAATAACATGGATATATTTTCATTTTTCAGCACAAAGATGGTGGTTGAGGAGAACGAGATGAACGCACAGGGCGTGGTGGAACACAAGAACCATCACTCTCCATTGTCATCGTCACTTGGAAGACAATCATCAATATACTCTCTCACACTAGACGAGTTCCAACACAGTCTATGTGAGAGTGGCAAGAACTTCGGGTCCATGAACATGGACGAGTTCTTAAGCAGCATTTGGAACGCTGAAGAGAACCAAGGAATAATAATAAATTCTTCCAACTCCCAAACTAATAACAACATAGACAAAGGAACCACAATGATAAGGAAGCAACCAAGTCTACCTCGCCAACCTTCACTATCCATTCCTGCACCACTTTGTAGAAAAACAGTGGACCAAGTTTGGTCTGAGATACAAAAGGAAAACAATAACAGCAGCAACAACAACGTTCAGAATACTGATTCTGCCCCTCGTCAACCCACTTTTGGTGAGATGACTTTGGAGGATTTTTTGGTTAAAGCAGGGGTAGTTCGGGAACCATGCGTGCAACCACCGCTCCCTCACTCTCATCATTACCCAAGTAATAACGCTACAATGACAATGGGTCCTTCTTTTGTTGGAAGTCATGTTATTGGTGGTGGTGTAGTGAATAATGTGGTTGCACCTCCTTATCAAGTTGGAGAGGTTTCTGGGTATGCTGGAAATGGTAAAAGGGATGGTGGTGGTGGTGGGTACCCTCCTCCACAAGGGGTTTGCTTTGGAGGGGGTGGGTATGGGGTAGCACCCTCCATGGGAATGGGTGCACCTGTGAGCCCAGCTAATTCATCTGATGGGATGGGGAATGAGAACTCTGGTGGTCAATTTGGGCTTGACATGGGTGGTTTGAGAGGTAGAAAGAGGATGGTAGATGGTCCTGTGGAAAAGGTGGTGGAGAGAAGGCAGAGAAGGATGATCAAGAATAGAGAATCAGCTGCTCGATCTAGAGCCAGAAAACAGGTCACAAGTTTTATCAATGCAATGGCTAGTTATATAAATCCTGTTGATGATGCCTTCATATAATCTAAGATATATATCGTATTATAATATTCCTAGCCTCCAGGTTTTATGGTTCCTATAGATAATCTTGAGTGAACTAGGACAGGAAAGTTGATACATCATTGATAGTATACACGTGAACATAAATTAGTTTAAAGAATTGATGGTGTATCAATGTTTTAAGGAATTAGAAGCAGAAATATTTTATAGCTAGGAAATGCAACTTTGTCTATGATTTTTTATATATATATATATATATATAAAGTTGAAGTAATAAATAAGAGAGATAAAGAACATCTTTAAAAATTATAAATAATTTTAATAAAAATGAGAAGTTTATTTTTTTTGTCTATTGTTATATCCTTAGATGACAAATAAAAATAAACGGGAGGGTACTGACTATCCACTTGGTCTTATCAAAATTGTGGTTCTAATTGATAAATGCCGATTGATTTAATTTTTAGTTAGCTTGGATTTAGAGATGTAAATAAAGGACCGCGTAGCTGCTAGCTATGAGGCTCATTGAGTTTTTCACTTGGTGAGTTCTTGCATAGACTTGGTGTAACCTGAACATTGTCTTATTACATAAAACATGAATATAAGAAATATGAAGTAAATAAAACATACTAGTTTAAGTGTTATTAGAGACCAGAGACTCGGTTTCAAGAAGCTTCGAGTTCTTCGAAACACCCCCCCCCCCCCACAATGAATTCTTACTAAAGTAATGGTATTATATCGGAGGGATAAGAAATTTTAAACTTGTTTAAATGAATAGTGTTTGTTTGTAACATTTTAGTTAATATTTGACGAAAGATTTTTTAAACATGGAGCTCGCTTTGATGAACTTTTGTCCGTTCTTGTCATGGCAGGCATACACAGTTGAGTTGGAAGCAGAACTGAACCAATTAAGAGAAGAAAATGCCCAACTGAAACAGGCGCTGGTAACTGCCAAAAGTCATGAACTTTTGCAGAATGTTGAATTAATGTTTTCCTTTGTTGTTCTTTGGTATTGGTAATTCGATTATACTGACAAGTATCGTGCTTCTATTTCTCAGGCAGAGCTCGAGAGGAGAAGAAAGCAACAGGTAACCAGTAACCGATGATGATCTAATTACAATTCACAATAGGGGTAGAAAAGCATTGATTTAGCAGTGTCTTTTCAAGTTGCATGAGCATTATTAAAAGTAAAACCATCCATTATGAAAAGTAGTATAATATCTATACAGTTCTGGCTGTTAACATTGTGTGCAACTTAATATGATTGTTTTAATTCCCATGCGAAAAATCCATAACAGAACTCCCACTTTCTTATATCTCTCCTTTTCAACTAAACACACTAACAAAGGTTCTCTGGAAATTTAGTCATATGATCTAGTCATGACAAACGCCACCCTTACTTTGAAGCAAATTACTTAAAACCACATATTTACTATCTTCTGATCACTTGCAGCAGTGTTTTGAGGAAGTGAACGTGAGAGTTCAAACCAAAGTTCAGCAGGCGAAAGAGAAACTGAGAGCGCTCAGAAGGAACCTGAGCTGTCCTTTATGAAGAAACTGCATGGTAAGCAGTGAACTCCTTGGATTTTTGTGCGCACAGAAGATGGTTATGGTGCATCTTCTTGTGTGGTTAAACAAAGACAAGTCAATGACGCAAATCAAGAGGGAAGAATAAAAATAAGTCAAAGCCAATTGAAGAAACAGACAGAATCAAAACGAAGGAATTATGAATTTGAGGGCCAAGCTGCCAAATTTCTCAAGTTCAAGACGAATGATTGGATCGTCCAATTTAGATGACTCTTTTCAAATGATGACTAGTTACTCAAGTGTAAAATATAGCTGTTGTATTATTGATGGCATTTTCATCGTCTGTAAACTACGTGTCTACCGTTCTTTTTGCTTACCACACCCTCGTTTAGTTTCTGATCGTTTGTTATACATGCATACAAGTAATGAAAAATTAATTCCTTAATTACGATGAACAGATGATTAGTCCTCTAACAGGACGTCCAAGAGGTCTAAAGGCCTAATGTCTAAAGAATAAACATTGCACGTAAAGGATGAAATATTTAATTTTGATTCTTGACATTTGATAAAAAGAACAATGAAATTCTGAGAGCTCCCAAATCCCCAAAAGAGGAAGACAAAGAAGGGGAGGGCTACTAAATATACATGTGAGGTGTTAGAAACAGGAACATCAACCATGGGCGGCTTTAATATGGACAGGTTCATTATGTCCCTAAGTATCAAGATTAGACAATCAAACTCCATTCATGTAGTTAATGGAAGATTTAAACGCATTCTAATTACGGCCATTAATAAACTCGCGACTGTGTTTAGAAAAGAAAGAGCACACAACACGATGCAGACTATCCACTGAATGATCCACAAGGAACAGCAAACATTTGCTGGGCAGTCACTTTCAATTACGTAAAAGTAACTGAGGTTCCCTCTATCTCTTTCTACAAAATAATAACCAAGAATAGAAAGAAAGGGTTGTGATGGAAACTAAAATTCTCTCTTTTAGAAAAAAAAATCTATAGCTTTACAATTGCAGAATTCCTGTGATTCACCATTGAAGAAATGGATATAAGAAACTCTTGAGAAATGCAAGTACCTTATTTGTGAATGATATAAAACCACTGACTTTGACAGAGATTAGACAAGTGCGGCAAAATCCACTACTCATATTCAAACTCAAACTTTACATGCCTGTATTTTCTTCCAAGTTGAAGAATGAATTCAGAAAAATTGGCAAATTTTTGACACTCTTCATATGGTTTGACCTCTGAAACAAAACCATAAATGACCAATCTTTTCAAATTGGGACATCCTTCCAAAAGTCCAGCCACCCATACTGAGAAAAGATCACTGATTGAAGTCCATCCAAGCTCTAACACCACCACATTCGTCAAACAAGACAAACCCTGCAAGCCATAATGAAGTATTCCATCTCTTAAATCATAACTTAAGGACAAATGCTTTAATTGAGGAAAACAAACAGAAATTGTCTCTATATCAACAACCTCATCCTCATCATCAAAAACAACACCCCACAGTCGAAGCTTAAGTAACTTCGATGCCCTTGAGATCATATGATAAAATTTTGGCCATATAATAAACTTACAAACATCTACAATCTCAAGGTTTTCTGTGCTCTCCTCAATATTAAGATGGATGACACTCACATCATCAATCTTTAACACTTTCAACGTTCCCTTTCCCACCAGTTCAAAAACCTCAAAGGTACAATCTTTTAAATGAAGCTTTTCAAGCAAGTCCGCTTCCAATAAAAATTTATCTGAACTAAATGATTCAATGAAGAAATCCTTCAAAGAAAAGCTACTAAGCTCCACAGAAGCCTGCGAATCCGATATTGCGATTTCGGGAGCAACCACGGCCAAGGTCTCAAGTCTTGGACACACAGAGAGCAGAAGACTCAAATCCAGCGCTGAGATGCTAACAAAACTCAACGAAAGCGACTTCAAGCAAGGAAATTTCAAATAACTAGGCTCAACACCCGTTATAGAATTGCGAGCCAAGGCCAACACTTGCAATCTTTGCCTGCTGCATTTTTCAATGATGTTGAAATTAGGGGTTATCCTCACATTAAACCGTAATTGGCGCAAGGAATCCCTGGTATACATAAGCCAGGCAATGACTGGAGCAGCAGAAAACACACGATCAACATCCATGAAAATGGTCAAGTACTTCAATGCCTTGGTTTGGAAGATTGTCTGAGTGATGAGTATTTCCAACCTACTAGAGGTTAATTCATTATAGAGGGGGCAATCACATGAATTGAATGAAAGAGTGTGGAGGTGATTGTACCATGCTTCCCTCCATTTCTTGCAAGTTGAGGAAGCAATCACAAGATCCCGGGCAGAACCAAGACGTGATAATATTTTACCAATCACTTCAACAGGAAGGTGCTCCATAATATAAAGCAACAAATTAACAAAAACTGAAGCAAAACATTAATTCAAGAGGGCCCAATTTATCAGAACCTGAGCAGTATGTCAATATTTCAATAATTAAACTTAATGAGAATACAAATTGAACAAAATAATAACAATATTTAATAAACAAAAACAGAAGTTCAAAGGGGGGGAGATGTAAGGGAATCGAAAGTGAGTGATACGAGTGAATCGGTATCTGGGGTTATAAGAAAAGTATAAATTAGCAATTTTTGACAAGTTAGCATTGAATCGGCAAAAAGAGGATAGTTAAAGAGAAGCATGGAAGGGTAGAAGTTGAAAGAGACTCACTTGGAGAATGAAAGGATCATCATCTTCATAGCAAAGACAAATTGGGAAGCCAGAGAGAGAGAGAGAGGCCTACCTCTCTTCCCAGAGGAAGGGGAAGGGGAATTTTGTCTGTGGGAAGCAAAATGTGAGTTTGGTCTTCATATTCGTGTCGGAAGGTCCTTTGCACGTGCTGCCACTCGCTGCCAGCAACTACCCCGTCTCCACTTCCCTGTATTCTTTCATTTGAGTTAATTACATTTTTTGTCTTCGCATATTAGTTTAAATGTGATTTTAGTCTCTCTTTTTTTCTAATTTGATAGCTTATATTTATTTTTAACATATAATTATTAAAATTTATTTGTTATTTTTAATTTATTGAATTATTAACAAATATATAATAAAATGTGATATATTATTAATTTGTATAAATTAATATTATATATCAAGTATTTAAATAAAATTATTACTATTATATGATCATAAAATAATAATTTTAGAATACTTGTGATTTAGGAAAAAATACATGCTATAAAAGAATTTATTAATATCTTAGTGATTAAATAAACAAAATTAGACATCTTAAATTTATCTGTGATTAAATTCTAAGTTAAAATCTTACAAATCTTTAGTTATTATTATTATTATTATTATTATTATTCATGTTTTAAAATCATTTAAATCTAATCACATCTTTTTCATTTACCTAGACAAAATTTTGATAAAATTAGTATTAAACCTAGTTTAAATAAACTTTTAAATAAATCCTTATAAAATAAGAAAATTAATATAAAAAAATATCTCCTAAAAATAATCTATACTCTTTTATAAATAAAAATATTTTTAAAAAAATAATAAAATACATAAAATAATATCAACTTTTGAAAAAACTTAATTCATTTTACAATTTCATTTTTTACTTTCATAAATATTTATTAATAAGTATAACTAAACAACACCTTAGTCATCAATGACAATCAATACAACAACATATTAGGGTCAATTCTACCTCTACATTAGGTGTCTATAATCACCCAGGAACATGCGCGATTAATATTTTCATCTCATGAAGCATCTTGTGCCAATATTGGTAGGTAATCACCCCTTAGAAGTGGAATACAAGAACTTCATGCAGCTTTTGCAGTCACATTATCAGTCCAGATTGTTAGGGTTAAACGTGCGCACATCTCTCCTCAGACCAACTCTAAAGACAACCTATGTCATTCAACCAGATATGATAATCCGGCGCAATTTAGTGAAAGCGTAATCTTTAAATTGACCAAAGTATTTTAAGATGAAATTTTCTTTAGCTCTGAACGTTATGGTAAACAACGCATATTATTTCAATGATACAAACTACAATTTTCATGATACAAAGAATTTTACATTAGGAATAAGAATCAGCAGAACAAATGATAATACAACGTGTTGAAATAAGCCTTAATAGCATCAGCTTCAGAGAACTCTATATATTGAGACCATGAGAAGACTCAGTATCCTTTCTGTCTGAGAACCAAAAGCTCTCATTTCTCTTGTTCTCGAAGGCAGAATCAAAGAAATTCATTAGTTGTATGTTTATCAATTAAATCATGAAAGTACGACTTCATAAATGTGGATCCGCACCCAGTTGAAGAGCAATTTTAATCATTTCATGGTTTAGAAGCTCCACTACTGGCTGTTGTCATGAAAGATTCGCCACAACCACACTGACCCTTAGAATTTGGATTGACAAAAATAAATTCCGATCTGACAGGAGAAGCAGAAAAAGAGAAGTTGAAGTAAAAGCACCGAAAAACAAAGCAGCAGTTCACATTAGAAAAGAAGATAGCAAGAAAACAGTTGAACAAACAGAAACCACCAGTACAACAAAATAACTGTTCACTAAAACCGATCATATTTTATCAAAATCTTCCTTCAGTTATGCAGACATTTTATTCAAGTATATTTGTGATCGGACGATCATTGATCATCCCCAAAACTGAACATGTAACATAAATTCATCACAAGCTTCTTTAATAATGCATATAGCCATATATTAACCTGACAAGATATCAGCAATTTGAAAAATAATTGACTGCCACAGCAAAGGTACAAATTAAAGCAAATTCAGAGTGGAGGAGGTGGTAAATAGTTTATCACATCACAAGCAGGTCAATGACCAAATATGCAGTTCTGAAATGGAAGCTTTAATTTAGTTACTGTTCGATGAAGAGAATTTTATCGAAGTAATATGCTCTCAAACTTAATACATTTATATGATTTTGTGTTTCAATTCTATGTATATTAGTGTTTATAACACTGACACCAAAGTAAGGATTATGAAAGGAACTTGGACTTAGAGTAGAAATAATAAACTACAAGCAGAGGTAGCCCTCTGAGACTGAAATCACAGAGAATAAAACATGAAAAGAAAAAAAAAAGGGTAATATGCATAGTACAAAATATCTCACCCATTTCAAACCTCTCCACCTGACTCAATTTATGCCTATCTCTGTTCCTTTCCCCTTCTTATCCCACCCCCTTTTCCCCTGTAGTGGTATGGTACCGCAATACATTCTCCACTCAACATGTGAGAGCTATCTATGATATTTCAGCCATTCCATTCCCTTGTAACAAACTCTTCCTTTTGCATTTTCCCCATAATGAGGAATAAGCACTTCCTATTTCGTCCAATTCCTCTCTTGCACATTTCCTTTCACACACACACAACTGACTACCCCCACTACCCTTCAACCCATCTCTCTTTTTTCCCCCTAGTATAGACATGTACTAAAGGCCACAGGAGATAGTGAAATGTCAGAATATATGATAAGGGGAAATCTCAAGTTGCCAAAATATAATTCCAACTTACAATTAATATTTTTTATGGTGATTGAAGATCAGAAAACAAACAAGGATAGACATAACATGGTTAAAATAATTAAGAGGTATTAGGAAACTATACTTTGGTGAGAGGATGAATCTCTCGATCCAAAAATCAACCAACAGGATAGGACTAATTTATTAAGAATCATGAAAGAAGACAATTAATAACTAAATTTGATGTAGATGATGCAGTTTTGAGACAATAATCTCAAGATATCTGTGTCCCAGTACATGATAACTGTAGAAAAAGTGCTGAAGAAAACGTTTACCTCAATTTGTCATCTACAAAATCCATTTTAGTTCCAATGACATGCATAAGGGCCTTTGGATCAATCAATATCTTAACACCCTTATCTTCAACCAACTCATCGAATTTCCCTTTTTCATCTGTCAAAGCAACAGGAACCTAAGCTAAGTCATAAAGCATTCATCTCACCACAATTGAAAGAAATAATTAGTAAACAATAGGTTCGCACTAAAGGTCAATTTTGAGGTGAGCGGCGTGAGCTTATTTACCTTAGTATTTGACATACCGCAACGCATGCTTTTGACTAATGATATAGTCATGGTTATTAGTTAATCAAGAGGAGGAGTATCTTCTAAACTTGAGTTAAGCAGGAGTAAGACAATGAAGTATACGGAATGCAAGATTCATAATAAGACATAAGTTAACGATGTTTTGGAGATGAAACTAGGAGAAGAATTAAAACTGGTTTAATATAGCTTTCCATTAATCATTTTATTACTTGGGCTGCTTCCTCATTGACAAACTTCAAGGTATAACTTATTTCATCATCTCAAATGTGAATTCCAATTTTACTTCCTCACTTCAATCGTCCAAAGTTCTTAATTCAGCAAATTACGAATTGAGCACTTTCATGCTATTGTGTGTAAAAATGCTATGCATATGCAACCAAAGATACAAAAATTTAAAGAAATTTGGAAAACACTCAAGAGTTACGGAGGCTTCCTTGAAAACTGAAAAGTAATGGATTACGATAATACTTCTTTTGAAAATTCAAAATCGAAAATTCAGCCTTACACACAAACGAGCCGAAGCTAAATCATTTACGATAAAAATTTCTCCTAATACTATGATTCCAGGGATTCCAAAAAGAAAACCATAACTAATTCAGTTAAGAAATAGATACAAAATTAATTTGAAAAAATATACTTCAGAAATCTAGTCAGATGAGGCCAAAAGAAAAACACAAAACAACGCAAGATTTTCCAAATTCCATTGTAAATCAATCACCAAATTTATAAGCTAAAAACAAGCATGAAATTGATGTCAAAATAGAGTGAGGATATGATATTGTGACAATGGATTATAGCGAAAAATGAGAGAGAATGAGAGACCTGCGTAATTGAGGGTGTAGGAAAGGCCGTTACAGCCGCGAGCCTTGACTCCGAGCTTCAAAAAGGGCCTCTGACGCTGCTGTAGCAACTGCCGTATTCGCGAAGCGGCGGCGTCTGTTAAGCTCACGGCTTGGCGTCGCGCCGCCGTACCAAACTTCTCCGCTGCCACGCTCATCGCCTTCGAAGCCATCAAAGATGAACTATCTCTGTCCCGATAGGATAGCTTCGTCATTTTAATTTTTAAAGCATTCCCTTCTATTTCAGTTAGGCGCGTGGCCACCACGCTGTCCTCGTAGAACGTTCCGGAAGAAACCTATGTGAATACGCGGCTTATTCTTAATGGCCTGTCAGCCGACCACGGGTGACATTATCAAAGAAAACAGCTCGAGCGAAACAAATAATGTAAATAATAATTTGTCTTTTTTAAGATATTAAATAAATAAAATAAAATAAAATACATGTTAATTTATTTATATGAAAAAATTTAACAAAAAAATTTTAGAGTTCATCTTTTAGTGCATGTGATTGTAAAAATAATTTTCTATTGCTCACCTCACTCTAACAATTCAAACAATATTTTGAATTAATTACATACAAATTAATTTTACATACACGTCTATAATTTTTAAACATATTTATTTATTTTTAAAAGGTAAACAATTTTTTTTTTACTTTGATTAAAATCCTTAGTACACATATTGCATGCACTGTTTCAATATATAATATGTGTCAACACATTAAATAATATATAAATATTAATTATTACCAATTCATACATTAAATAATACAAATCTTATAATAAATAATATTGTGAAAACATTTTATTAATTTATATATACAAATAATTATATATTTTTATATTTTAAATTAAAAAATTACACTAGTTACTTTTTATAATTAAAGAGACTTTTTTTTTTCATAATTATTAACATATAAAGTCAGTCTTGATAACTCCCTGCTATATTTTGCTTCATAGAAAAGAAGACGATGATAACAATTTTCATTAATAAGATTTATTGAGATCAAACTAAATTGTTTTAAAACAAATTAAAGATTTCACATTATCAAATTTGACATGTCCGTGTGTATTTTTCAAATAGCATTTAACATATTTATCGTTTATTAAAACAACTAACGTGTAAATTATAAAATAAATAAACATTATAATACAAACTTATTTAATTTAAACACTAATTTGACTTGCTTTATAAATATATATTGATATATAAAAAAATTTACTATAGTACGAAGAAAGTGTACATATTTATTAATAATTTCAAAGACAAAAATTAATATTATTTTCACATATTAATATATAATTTTTTAAAAATAAATTTTATGTTATAAATAAAATATTTTATTTGGAGAATAAAATATTAATGAAGTTATTGTATTAAATTTTTTAGATTAAAATTATTTAATATTAATGTGTAAATAATATTTTTTACTATTATAATAATTTATTTTTCTCACATTTTTAGTAATTTTGTCTTAAATTTTAAAATAAAATTTTTTATTTAATTTTTTTATTCTATATAGATTATATGATTTTTCATTAATCTTTAATTATATTTATAATTTTTTTCATTATTTTATATAAATATTTAATTTTTAAAAATATATACTTATGCAAAATTTACAATATTTAATATATTATTTTATTTTTAAAATAAAATATTTTTTATAATTTTTTAAAATTATTATTATTTTAATACATATTATTTATAAATATATAATTAAATATTTTTTAAAAAGTAATGTTTTAAATAATTATATAATATTACATATATATTTTAATAATAATGAGTTTTATTAAAAAAATTATTATGTTTTTACAACTTGAATATAATAATTTAAAAAAATTATTTATAAATATTTAAATTCAGCTCTGAAAACTGAGGTCAAGAAAGTTGTTTAAAGATATCCTATAAAAATAAATAGATGTGCATTGTATACATTTATCGTATTTAAAAGAAAAAGAATAAAGAGAGGGAGGATGTTGTAAAGGGAATGGAATCCCTCGTCGAATAGGGTTTTCAATTCCAAAGCAGTCGTGTCTGTATTCGAGCTTGGAAAGCACATCGCACCGAAACAAAAACACACCTTGCGGACCATTTTCATTTTTCATTTATCAACAAAAAAAACATATAGCTAAAAAAAATGGAGAAGCACTTCTCTTGAGAAAAAAAAAAAAAGAAAAAGAAACCATTTCCACTGTTCCGCTTCCCCACTCAAATGCTACTCATACTCTCTCCATCTTTCTCAGGTCTCTCTTTCCCTCTCATCTCTGCAACGTCACGTATTTCCTCTTTCGAATTTTGATCTTACCTTCCACATTATCACTCTCTAAATTTCTCACTTTTTCTGCATTTCGTTCACTTTTATTATCGCTATTCATACCACACCACTCTTGCAGCAACAACACAGTGTATTACAGTTCCTTAATTATTAATTATCTCTGGCCCTAATATTTTACCGATTACTTATTAATTTGTTTATTTATTTATTTATTTATTCACGAACAGGTATTAGAAGTAAGAATTCAGAGCGAATTGCAACTTTCACGTATTGAATTTTGTTCAGTGTTCTTTTTCTCCCATACTTACCAGAAGTCACGAATTTCGACACTGTGAAAATGGCAACGTGTTTTGCACCGTCGAATGCAAGAAATTCGGCGGGGGTGCTGGCTGTTGTTGGAGGGAGAACAATTTCAGAGAATCACGCTAACAGATCGTGTTTCTCGAGAATGCAAGAGAACAAGTACGGTTTTGGCATTCGAAAGTGTGGTTCGTTTCAATTGAAGTGCTCAGCGAATTCACATAGCATAAGTCCCTACCATAGCAAAGACCCTTTCCTCGATCTACACCCTGAGGTTTCAATGCTTAGAGGTGAAGGAGGTGGTGCATTGAATAACCCTAGGCCGAGAAAGGACATTTCCGGTGGAAATGTTGCTGAAAGCTTGGAAGCCACTCCTACTCCTAGTAACTACAATGAAGCAAAAATCAAAGTCATAGGTGTGGGTGGAGGTGGCTCAAATGCGGTCAACCGCATGATTGAGAGTTCGATGAATGGTGTGGAGTTTTGGATTGTTAACACCGATGTTCAAGCCATGAGAATGTCGCCTGTGATTCCTCCAAACCGCTTGCAAATTGGTCAAGAGCTTACGCGAGGTCTTGGAGCTGGAGGTAACCCTGAAATTGGCATGAATGCTGCCAAAGAGAGCAAGGAATCGATACAGGAGGCAGTTTATGGAGCTGACATGGTCTTTGTTACAGTATGTTCAATTCAACCAATGACTTTTCTTCAATTATAGCTTCTGCTAGTGCTAACTGCATTGGAGTTTTGCATAATGAATTTTATTTTTAGTAGTGCACTTGGTAGCATTGGACCGATTGACATGGTTAATAAAATATGCTTCATTACAATACTGAAATATATGTTTGTTAAATCATTACATGAAGTAGGATAGAGTAGCATATGTTTTAATAGAAAAAGAAAGGATACACTAATATATTGTACAAGGAGCAATAGACCATGATATTCTACAGAGGTTATCAAGGGACTACATCTGAGGGCTTACACTGGTCCGGTTTAAATTTTTATTCGGTGTGGTGTGCTGATTGTGACATTTGTTATGGTGGTATCCCCAATGCATGATCTGAGTTATCACTCTTTTGACAGATATTGTTTTTTGAATCACTCTTTTGGACTTCTGCATATCAAGATGTTAAATTCTAGAGTATATTAAGTTATAACTAATGGCTCTTTATCACAGTCATTTTCTAAGTATACTCTTATATAGCATTGGACTGTTGGTTCTGTTGTTGATGGGGAGTGATAATAGGGAATGAAAAATAACTCAAATGGAAATAATATTTCACATATTTTGTACTATTATGATGTTGAATTTCAAAATTTAGTTTATTAGATTATATAATATTTAAAAAAATTGAAACCTCTGCAATTGCAAATAACATGTATGAAATATTTCTTTATGAATTCTAGTAGGAAAATTATTGGAAACTATATAAAATTCTAGTTGTTATTGTTTTGGATTTTGATTATTTTTAATTAATGCCAATGAGAAATGAGGAGCCAACAGTTCATGTTATTGAAATCCTCTAATGCGTTGACTTTTCAAAACTGATAGCAGGCATGCGTGCATTATTGCTAATTTTGGTAAACTTGAAAATTTGGAACTCATTTGTGCAGGCTGGAATGGGTGGAGGAACTGGCACTGGTGGAGCTCCAGTTATTGCTGGTATCACAAAGTCCATGGGTATACTAACTGTTGGTATTGTCACAACCCCTTTCTCATTTGAAGGACGAAGAAGGGCCGTTCAAGCACAAGAAGGAATTGCAGCCTTAAGAGATAATGTTGATACTCTGATAGTTATTCCAAATGACAAGCTGCTGACAGCAGTTTCTCCATCTACCCCGGTAACTGAAGCATTCAATCTGGCTGATGATATTCTTCGACAAGGTGTCCGTGGCATATCTGATATTATTACGGTATGGAACCATGAAGATCTTTGAAAATGAACGAATACCTTCCTGTTGCTTTGTGTTTTTTTTTCCCCCATCAAATCTTGATTGTAAAGCAGTAAAAAGGAAAGAAAGAATGAAAGGGGAACCTTAAGTATGTTGTGTCTTTATTTGTTTTGACATTCAATAGTCCCTAGGTAAGTCACTTGTGGGTGTCAACTGTCAAGTTGTTTGTTATGTGGGTTCAAAATTATGCATTATCATTAGTTTAGTTGCTAGAATTTATATAATTTTTATTATCAATTTTGGATCCATGTAGGCGAAAAATACTCTGGCCATTCCACTATTAAAAAGTCCAGATCATATGTTTCCCGTGGTCTAAAATAGATGGTATCTGTCTGTAAAATTATTAATGCTCAATAATATTTTTAATTGATTTCAGATACCAGGATTGGTGAACGTAGACTTTGCTGATGTTCGAGCTATAATGGCCAATGCAGGTTCTTCACTTATGGGGATTGGAACTGCAACTGGTATGTATGGGAAGTTGGAACTGCAGGTGGAGATGCATTGATGCTCCTGAATCCTGATCTTCTATTTGACCCAAATAATTAGCAAGTTTTCCTTAAATTGCATGGTTATTTTAAATTTAAGAAAAAGTATATTATATTAAAATAAAAATTGTATCATTGTTAAATAATGGTGAAGATCGGGTATCTTAAGAAAGAAGTATTATAGGAGATGTCGTCATTGTCAATAATGAGGATTTTATTATATCAGATAGGAGTATATTAAAGAAATAAAACTTTTAAAATTGAAGAAAAATTATAAAATTAATTTGAATCAAGACACATAATCTTAGTGTCTTTTAGTTTGATATGATGTATCAAAATTTTAAATTCAAACCAGGATTGACTAAATTTAAGAAATGTTATTTGAGAGGAATAAAAATCATATTAAAAAAAGTATATGTGATGCAAAAGAAATCACATGACATGACTTAATGAGAAAGAGAGTAGATCCTATATAGTCTCTCGTTTTAGAGTGAGTACTTCAATATATGGCTGTTGATTACTTCTAAACCTCTGTTTTGCTTACTGAAAGCATTACACCCGAAGTATATATGCAGGGCAGTTATAGATATTACCGCACCATATGGTGTGCACGGCCATAAGAGAATGATTATTCAACTAAAGCTGTTTGGCAGCATAGCTGGCGTTGCCTTGAAAGTTGAAACTATTCTTTTCATAGGAAATCCTACCAAAGCAATTCTAAGATTGTATAATTAATTCTCGTTTTCATGCCACGCTTTCAAATTCTTGAGAAGCACACACATGGGAAACATGCTTTAATGGCTCAAGAACTAAATTTTACCCCTTTACTCCACTTTCTGTTTCCTGGTTAATTATTAAATTATAAATATATTATCCTTTGATTGGCATACCTCTTTTTTTTTATGGAGAAAGCAGGGAGTGTCAGAATTGATGAGCATATTCCGATTTGTATTTGCATTGAATATATTATTGAAAATTTGAAATTTATCTTCTGGCTTATTTTTGTGTTGAAGGGAAAACAAGGGCAAGAGATGCTGCATTAAATGCTATCCAGTCACCTTTACTAGATATCGGTATAGAGAGGGCCACTGGAATTGTATGGAACATAACTGGTGGAAGTGATTTGACCTTGTTTGAGGTAGCTAGCTATCCCCCTGGTGCTTACAGTTTTGTCCTTGTTATATATTTGTATGTACATTATATTTCTATCCCCTCTTTCTTTCTTTCTCCATTTTTTTTTTTTGAAAATTTTCCTTTTTTCCTTTGGAATCTGGGTCATCTAATTTCTGTGGGAACTTGCGAGGTGCATTTTTTACTAAATTAAGTCAGGATTTTTTTTAACGTTACAGCCACGTGTCAAATTCTATTGTAACATTTCCTTACGTGATTTAGATGATTGGGAGTTGTGTCAGTTTCCCATGGACGAGATATTTAGCCAAGGGAAAAAAATCTGAGGTTTATTAAAATATTTGTGAAAGACATCTGCCTCCATCTAGTAATCCAGTTACTATAATTCTGTTGTCATATTTTTGTGACAAGTAATTTATAAACATGGTTTTTGAAGTGAGAAAATGATTGTTTGAGGCATCCATTGGCATTGATGCCGTGAGCAAAGAAGTAAAATAAAGTAAACTAGCCTTCTTTTCTGAATTCTGAATTGCTACCTACTTCATAATCTGCTATCTGTTAAATTCATCATACTTATTCTATTTAAATATGGTTCTTTAGTATGCTATGGCTTTCAATATTATCATTTACAGGTAAATGCTGCAGCAGAAGTTATATATGACCTTGTGGACCCCACTGCTAACTTAATATTTGGAGCAGTAATTGATCCATCACTCAGCGGTCAAGTAAGTTAAGCTTCGAAAACCCTTAAATATTATTTATATGAAGTATGAACATATGTTTTGTCAGTACCTCTTCATCCAAAAGTGAATTGAGCAACATTACCCCAGTCCGGTGTGTTCAAGAAACCGGAAATATACTGCAATCGTTCCTGAATATAAAGTCTGCATGATGCAATGGGCATGCGATAAACATAAGTTGTTTATAAAATAATTTTAAAACGGCTTTACTGCAAATTAGTTTTAGAAATGAGCAGTCCGCAACGAAATTGAAATTCTAAATTCTTTAGCATATGCTGTTGAGTTATATATGTTAAAGAGAAATAGCTTCTAGATGCTTTAAAAGTGATCTCAGTTATTAAGTTATCAGAAGATAATTTCCTTTCTTTTTACAACTTCCAATATCACCAAAAGTTGATTTTGAATATCCTATTGTTGATTTAGGACTTTAGAAGATAAAATAGAATTTTAGACACCCTTATCGGCTTTTGAACTTCATCCGAAAGGTTCCAAAAAAAAATGTCTCCAATAAACTCGCTTCTACTAAAAACTAACGCGTTACACATATTCATCTATCAATGGCGGGGAGTATAATTTTTAAAATAGGAAGGGTGGACAATATAGTTTAAGCGTTTCATAAGAGACGAATGTATTATTTTTCCTTAGTCAGCTAGTGGGACTTAAGCCACGCACATAGAATCCCATCTCAGGACGAGAGGATAATTTACTCTTGTTCTTTTCAATTTTTACACCAATACAAATGAAAATACTATGATAATTAGATAAATGATTCTATTTTACTGTATCTATAAGAAGTAATGTTTAGTTTATAACATCGGTCTCTCGTTTAAGGTTTGTGCTTTTATTTTTAATTTTATACTAATTTTTCATCAGTTTTAAAAAAATCTGCCATGCAATTTGGTTAAATATAGGTAAGCATAACATTAATTGCCACTGGATTCAAGCGTCAAGAGGAAAGTGAAGGAAGGCCTATACAGGTACGTCTTACTCAATTCCTCCCCCCTCCACTTCTTCCCCGGTTGATGCAATACCCATAATTCTTGTTTTGTCCAAAATGCAGGCCAGTCAACTCACACAAGGAGATATCATTGGTATCAATCGGCGATCTTCCTCTTTCACTGATGGTAGTTTTGTTGAGATCCCCGAATTCTTGAAGAAGAAGGGGCGTTCACGCTACCCAAGAGCTTAATACTCTTTACCCCAACTTCTTTAATCCCTTGCATCACTTTACCAAACAAGTTTTAAGGATAAAAATCTCATCGGTCTAGGTATTAGATCCCGTTTTGCTTCTTCTTTTAGTATTTTTAGGTCCGTAGTGTGCATACAGTTGTTCGTGAAAGCAAAGTACTTTCCAAATTATTGTGTTTTGAGTTGAGGCTTGTTGGCACATTTAAATAAGTTGATTAGCTTGTATTTTTGTACAGAGAATATATCAGTAATGGCATTGCTTGTTATAGATATTTATATTTGGTTTGCTAGTGTTACCATCAAATGAAGATTGTGAATATCGGAAACCGACTTAACCACAGGTTTTAAAGTAAAACAAGATTTCGTGTATGCAACTGTTTTTCTTGGATCCGAAGGCAAAAACCGTGAGCGTTTTTGAGCAATGTCACAGGGCAGGTGAATCTGCCCAGACTTCTCAATCACCCCAGTCCTTATTTGCTTATAAATATCGCGAATTATGACATTGAATTTTCCTTGTCTGCTTCTGGTTCGTTTTCTGCTGATATTTCGCGTTAGAGTTCCCGCCCCATGGCGATTTGTCTCATATTCAAAATTATGGGATTTTGTTAGTTCTCACAAGAGCAAGTTAAATGAGTGTGGTTTGATCAATTTCTGTCCTCAAATATTAACTTTATTTTACCATATTAATTTATCAAATTTTATTTGATGTTGTCCTTATATAGACTAATCTAGCCAAATCTCTTTGTTGAAAACGGAATGTATTGACCAAAAGAACCGAAAAGATCAGGAATCAATCTAACAAGATTCTCAAATTTTGGTTTTAAAAAAAAAAGAAAAAAATCAGATAAACAGGTCTTGGACCATTTAATTTAACCCATGATAATGCGGTTATATTGGTCCTCTTTCAATTTATGATTAAAATTCATCGTACCCTCTTTCTAATTTATCGGATAAGTTTATAATGTAATAAAATTTTAAATTTATAAAAAAAGTTTTATTTCTATTATTTATTCAATATGAAACTAGTATACGTTATTTTAAGATCAAAGATTAAGTTGGAATAATTTTTTATTAATTGATTATGTGTTCGGTTGTTAATTTATATAATTATATAACAAACTTAATTTTGATCTCAGGTAAACTTCTGTTAAACGCTTAAATCTCAAAACCTCAATTATTTTATTTTTGCTCGTTTAGTGACTAGTTCTGTTCCAAAATATGTTGGTTTTCTTCCTTTGCAATATGGGAAGTTAATCAATAATGCTAAGAGCATAAAATGAACTGGATAACGAGGCTGTTACCTGTGTAGCTTCATTTGCGAATTAATTTTGTAGCATAAACATTCTTTTACTAACTTGGTGTCAAACCAATCAATTTTCGCTTGAGCTTAGATTGTAGAGCAATGTATTTATTTAAGAATTGGTAGCATGTGCAAGGATGCAAATATATTTCCTAAGAATTTTCATCTTGTAGTGTGTGATATTAAGATATGAATTTTTCTGGAATACATTGATAGTATCAAAAAGGTACATTGTCATTCAATTTTAGTTTGACATACCATGAAGAATTACTAACTTTTATAATAATTAATTTAAAAATTATGATACAATTAAATTAATTGATAATATAAAAAATATATATTAATAATACACTAAAATTAAACTCTTAAGTTATTAGTTACGCTATATTGGGTTGGTTTTTAATTTATTTGAATTACATTCATGTTGAGGGTTATGTGGTTTGATTGGATTATATTATTGAGTTGTGCAATGAATGAATATCATGTAAGGTATTCGTTGTTATGCATACATACTTAAACAGATGAGGGATGAAAAGATGAAAAAAATCTAAGGTGTCAAATCAAAATATTTGGCTACATTCCATTATCATGTAGGTTGAACAGTGCCAAAGTTTCGTCTGAAACTTGTTCTCACGTCCATAAGGCTAACGAAAACACACCATGTGATTGAGAGCGTAACTTGATAAGGAAGGTCCACACCTCCGTATCGAAGCCTCGTTCCGAATAATCAACTCAAATCACTATTGTTACGATAATCTAAAAATAATAATAATAATTAAAATCAACCAAGAGACAAAGGAACACGATCGATTGTTCCACTCCTATTTATTATGTAATAGGCTTTTTAAAATATCTACTAAGTTTTGTAATCTAAATAAAAAAAAGACCAATTATAAACATTTAGAGACATATGTAGTAGTATTAAATGTTATGAACATATTAAAAAACAAAATGCGTGTAGTATCCTTGCAGATTAACAATATAACGGAAAATTGGATTATATATTATTTTTGTTAAATGAAAATAAATAAATAAATAAATTTCAATATAAAACAATACGAATTATGTTTATGCACAAAATTTACAACTATATGAAAATCTCTATTTACCATAAACTATCTATAGTTAATATTTTGTTTTCAATAATAATACTTGGAATTTTCACTATTCCCAATGCTCTGTCTGTTCATTTTTTTAGTTGGATCCAACTTTTCGTGAATAATAAACAAACATAATGATTGACTCAAAAAAAAAATAATGATCTAATGAGAGAAAATTTAATGGATAATTAATTATGCCTCTTTGTATCAAACTAAGTTTTTTTATTTTCTTTACAACTTGCTTAAGAAATAACGGACAAAAAGATATAACTGACCAATAGGTGAATAGTTAAAATAATGAATACATTTTAATATTTTAATTTAAATACATTAACAATGAAAAAAATCTACACTGTCATCCAATTACATTAGTACATTACTATATCGATAAGAATTATTAATGTATATAATCATTAATATAAAAAAATATATTTACACTGTGATAAATAGTTTATCTTTATACTGACAGCATTAAAATTTAATCTCATGTCTTAATTCACTTCAATGTAATGAATGATATGTCATTACATAACTCATTAGATAAACACAAATTATTAGATAATTTATATTCATTTATCTAACAGTTGATATTGCATCATATAACTAAATCACTAAATGCGTTTTATTTTGACAGTAAAGCCAGTATTTTAAGTATAAAAGCACAGTGCGTGTGTCAAGATTTTATGAATGTGTGAGAGAACAATCTTATTGTATGTACTATTTGTGGGAAGATTCTAATAAAAAAAAGAGAGTAAATTGCAGTTAAAATTAAGCTTTTTTTAAAAAAAAAAAAACTCATTTTCCATATGAAACTTTACATATATACATCTTATATTTGTGGAAAGTATTATAATAAATGTAAGATGTTGAAGTTCAACAAATTTATTAATTGAATCATTAAGTCACTTACGTTCTCAACCAAATATCATTCATAGCCTATCTAGTCTTACATGTAACTACAGCAGCGAAAGGACACATGTACCATATATAACAACTAATGTCATCATTGAGATATTGGAAGTGTTGGATGCATGTTAGAGATCAAAAGTAGAATAACACCCTATGGATAGCTAAAGTACAACGCTAGCTTGAGGAACGAAGGTAGCTTCAGGAAAACAAGTTATTGATGAGAATATTAAAGAATTGTGTTTTTCTGTTTTTCCAATGATGATATTTAGTACACATATGTTTGGTACGAAACCCAACCAAGCAATTATAATGAAAGATTTTTTAATCTTTCTCACTCGTCACGAAAGATCGCATAATAATTCATTGGTCACTTCTAAATTTGTCTAGATTGGGAATGAATAATTCGTACCCTCTTTCTTTCTTTTAGACGTGCGTGAAACAAAATATTATTTTCTATTTTATCAATTACTAAAAGTACATACTTGTATCTTATGTCTTACGTTTTATTTTTGTTTTGCCTCGTGATAATTTTTCAATTGTATTATGAAATGACTAGTTGTGTTATTGAGTGCTTGGTTTTTTCAGAAATCAAAGACATCCATAGTCATCAATGCCAAAACAAAAATATGCATCTAATTTTTTTATTTCATAGGGGAAATAAGAAAAGGGAACTGTAGTTTAATGACCTCAAAATAATACTCTTCCAAGGGGAATAAAACACAAATATCTTTCCTAGCATGTCCAACTCCAGAGTATCTGTCTCATCAAACACTAGTAACAAGTAACAACACACGTATTTGTATTTTTCAATTTGGATAGAATAATAATGAAAATGATAATGCGTTGCTGAAATGAAATAAAAAGAGAGATTAAAAAAAAAATCACATAATCCAACCTCATTGGTTAAAAGCCAAGAATCATATATTCTTAGGCAAGTAGATCAACGTCAACCTCAATCCTCCAAAAATCAATCCAAGGAATTACAAAGGCCTCAGTACTCTCTCCCACTGATCTCCTTTCCCACAGAGCCTTTCTTTTTCTTTTCATTCCATTTTGGATTTTTTCAATACTAAGCAAGTGGGAACCAAACCACACAAATAGAATCCCATCTCAAACAAGACACGTACATTTGTCACTTACCATTCAAAAGAAGCTCTTGTGGGCGACGTGTAAACTAATTTCCCACCCACTCCCTTTGCTTTATTCCCCACACAAAGCCACCCTCTCCAATTTCAAATCTCCTCTACACAAGAAGATTGTAACTCATCAATGAATACACCACACACAAACAAATAAAATCACTCCAATCTCACTCTGCATGAAAAGCAAACAACCCTTTCATGGCTCACCAATCCCCTTCTGAATCTCATCACCAGATTCCTTCTCAACCATTGGACCTAAACAGTCCCCACCCATCTAAAGATAACATCAACATGGAGCAAGAACAAGAAGAAGGACCCTTCTTGAGCACTCGTAGCCATGATGATGATAGAGATAAGGATGTTACACAAAACCCATCTGCATCAAAAACCCTTTTTTGCAATAAAGAGAAAGTGGCATTGAAGGAGCCTTCACATGCAATGGATGTTGCAGAAAAAACAAGCGTGGCAGAGGCTTTGGGAGAGGATAGTGGACGTGAGAGGCTGAAGAGGCATAGGGTTGAAGTGGCTGGAAGGGTTTGGATTCCAGAAATATGGGGTCAGGAGGAGCTGTTGAAGGATTGGATAGATTGCACTGCATTTGATGCTCCTTTAGTTCCAAGCACAATCACCATGGCACGTGCGGCTTTGGTTGAAGAGTGTTCAAGAGCTAATGCTGCTGGAGTAAGAATAGAGAACAGGTGTTAGAATTTTCATTTCTGTGATTCAGTTTAACGACAACCATATGTTCATGATGGATTGTTTTTTAATCCTAATCTTTATATAATTTTTTTTTCTTTTGGGGATTTATTTTTCGTGGCTTTTCAAGATACATTTGACAACCCTTGCCAACATTTTGAAACTAAAAATTTGTAAACTATTATAAGTTCCTATATTTTATTTTCATCGATTATCCCTTCAGCACTCGGACTTTTTCTTGACCAATCATTTGCCCATGTGATCTTTGGCTCATATCCATCAAACATTGATTATAAAATGTCGAATTCGAAGTCTTTTTGTGTTTGTTTAATTAGACAACATATATATAGTAATGTAAATAACTTTCAGCCTTGGGCAAGTATTTTTGGTATAGTGCCTTTGGAAGAAAAAAGGTTATCGTGTTATTTGGTTTTAAAATGCCATAATTTATAACTAATCAATTCTAACTCCAGCTTACTCAATTTCAACAAATGCCCACATTTAAAACAAACAATCCATTGGACAAAAAAAGAAGACATAATCTGAGTACATTTGTTTATTCAAATTTCTAACTCAAATTGTAGATTTATTTATCAAATGTTCAAGTGTAGTAGATATAAAAATAAAAATATAAGGTTTCATTTCTTAAAAAGCCGAGGCATCATTCGAATTTGAACGTTAATAAATCTAACTTCATAAATATCGATATTATTATTATGATGCTTATTTCTTATACTCTAGTCCTCCATGCGTGTAGTATATATTGGCCTTTACCAATCGCTTACCGAGGGTATACTATTGAAATCAACTGCTAGTATTAGATAAAGGAAATGGAATGAGTTATTATCTTTTACTGGTTCTGAATATCTTGTAGGGAGCCAGCCTTATGACCCATCAGGAAATAGGCAAGAGGTTGCTCAATTCAATTACTTATTGCTCTAGTTATGGAAACCCTTACTCTGACAGCAAGTTGCCACAGTAATTAGTGAGTATCTTTTTCTGGTTTCATTCTATCACTAGGACTCTGATGATCAAGCATACTCCCGATACTAGATCACCCCCGGGTAAGTAATTTTTCAGCAATTCTTGGGCAAAAATGTCAAGTTTAGTTGACAGTAATTACAATTTACAGTCACACTCCTGACTTCCCTAAAAAAAAAAAATACAATATTCCACATCTGTTTTAAATTATTAATAAATATAATCAAGAGTCAAGAAAAAGAAATATGAAAAAGAACTATGAGGATTGCCTGCATATCTAGCATTACTATTAGGCTCCAACAGTATAAATTTCTGCTACTGACACAGCAAATGTGAAAAACTAGAGTCACCATTATGATACCAACTCCCACACCTTGATTGTCCCATCATCGCTGGCGGAGGCTAGTAGCGGCTTCTCCTATTTAGTAAGCAACAGTGTTACCAATGGCAGAAACAGACACAAATTCACAGAAAGCAAAAAAAAAAAAAACTGTTATAGGTCACCATTCTCTAAATATGTAAGTTCTTATAAGCTATTAACTTGTATGTAGAAGGACCGACCAACAATGTCCCAAAGCTCCGACGTAATCGTAACTACAAATTTTATATTTCTTATACAGATACGAAGACCTATTCTGTCCTTTGGGTGCAAACTCTGTGACAATACTTGTCAGTTAAACACTTTACTAGCAATAGAAAGCCTACTAATCACTACTACTTTTATTATTCTAGTACAATACAAGTTATTATAGTGAAATTTAAGAGGTTATTATTCAGAATCAGACACAATCAGACTAGAGCATTATCTAATTTAGCAGTGAAATCTACCATTGCGCCCGCTTGATGTTTGTGGAAAGTGATATTCATTTCACTATCAATGTGATTCCATTAAAGTAGTGTCTGAGAATCTTACCCCAGGGCTCCACTGCACCGAATTTACATCCATGTCATGGGCCTTCTCCTTCTTCAGCAGCAACTTGTACAGAGGACCACCAACCTATGTTATAAGGAAGAAATAAAGCTTTGTCAAATATAACCTTTCTTTTCTTGGTAGAGTCAGATGCATCTACAGTATACAAAGAAACAAAGTCAATTATCTAAAAAATATTTATGTTCATTTTGGTCATTATTTTCCTACAAAATCATATAATCTTATTTTAGTTTGAATTTTTCAGGGACTTGGATTTCAATGTACATATGGATTTATCCCTTAATAACAACTGCACAAATGTAGAGATTCAAAACACCCACAGGTTTTCAGACACCAAGAAGAGCACCTAAAAGGGATCCAATGCAAGTCCACAAATATTTTTGGAGAAACTGAGATGGTGGATTATTATATTAAGGAAAATTTGGAAACCAGCTGCTCCAGCTTACTAGTAACCTTGAACAGTAATGCAACTACGCAAGAACATCTTGCTAATCTCTTCAAAATACAACATAGTTCTAATAAAAAACTTGATGCAGATAAATAAAGTTGCAAATACAGTTAACGAATAACTGTTTGGCCGAGTGTTCTCTGCACTTCAGTTGTAAATAAAGAAATATTTGGCAGTGATTTGTCAAGTTTTTTGCAACTTTTGTCCTTGTTAGCATGTACAAAGAGATCAAGAAACTCCAGGCCTATTGATAGGCACAAATAGACAATAGAATCACGAAGAGTCCATGATTTAGTGATTAATTCTGGACAAGGAAAAGGACAGAAAATCCCACGCTTCTCCTGTCTACAAATTCTTCCTGCACTTTAGATTAGATGTATGAAGATAAAATATCTATATGCCCCCAATGGCATTCCTAGTGAGTGAAAATTACACGTCATACTAAACAATGACACTTGTTCACCCCACCGGTACTCAAGATTTTAAAAAGAGGGATTTAGGGTAGGGATCAACAGCTCATGAATATTCAAGTTAACATTCTCAGCTGTAGTTCCTATAATATTCAAGTTAACATCTCGCATCTGATATTCAAGCAAACCATCATAAATAGCCAGATTTTTTAATGATTACACACTACATCCTGACAAGAGAACTTTATCTAATTGTCAATAGGCACACATTACGCTTGGAATGGCCATAAGAAGGCATTTGAACAGCATATATTAGCAGATAACTGTAGTAATTATGAAAAGCTAACAGAATTGGCATACCTGACTTTCACTGTCATCCACAAAAAGCCGTATAGCATCATCAGCAGCTCCACTGGCAAAGATACCTTCTCTGTCATACCAGCACAATGCAGGATACAGAAATATCAGATTTATATAAACAAAGATTAGATAAGATAGTCTACCTCTCACATCTGATATCTTGATGACAAACATGAAGTGCATGAGTCATTATCTTTGCCCTCATTTCAATTTAAAAAAAGAAATAAGTAATGATGCACAGATGATTGAATCTGCAGCATGCTGCCAAAATGACATTTACATTTTTCAAAATATGAGACAGCAGGTAAAAGAGGGTAATTCATTCTCAATGTAGAAAGAATAGTCAGCAAACATCCCAAATATGGACATTGCCTGATTTATTTTACTTAAGTTCAAATCCTTAAAAGTGGGAATATGCATAGATGAAAATGATCACAGTTGACTTCTTAAAGCCAAACAAATGAAATTGTGAGTGAGTACCAAATATCAAGAAGGTTAAATCTGCAAACCACTAAAAGATTTACATAAATGCCAATATGTGAGATGCAAATTTCATTTTACCTTGACCAATGAACAGAGAAAATAGTCCGATCATGATACCCTGAAAGAGTGCAAAGATGCCTCCTGAAATCCCAATAAGAGACAAGAAACAATTTTATAATATATGGAAAGGATAAATAATTAATATGCCTTTGTTATTAAACAATATAACCCTCATTTCTAGAAGTGCTATAGTAAATAATAGAATATTAATTCAAACCTATTTAATTGATTTCACAATCTTTGAAAGAAATCAACCATGGTGTTTCAATCCATTACAAACTATACCATAAAAAGAGCAGAACAGGCAGATTATGACTTGAAAGCACAATTACTTTTCATCTTAGAAATCCAGTCTCAGGACTATAAAGCAAAAACCCATAATACATTTGCTATGGTTTATACTTTACATCAAACAACTTCCTATGAAATGTCAAATACATATTCCAAATTCCAATATTCTATCCCAGAGGTAAAAAAACTAGTGTAAGGGACAAGAATCCTTCATGTTAGTGATGTTACTTACCAAGGTGCAAATCCACCACCAGATTGCATCCCGATGTTTTCTGATTCCCATACCTTCAGGGTAAGATCGTCACTGCCAGAAGAAATTGGAGTTAAAATGTAAAAGTTAGAGAAAATGCTACAATAATTCTAGGAATAAACAAAAAAAATGTTTCACATACCTACAGGTAACCATTTTGTCTCCACTAGCATTGAAGGAGAGGGCCCAAATAGTAGAAGTGTGACCACTGACAAACAATACAATCATACGCACAAATTAACATTAACATCGATTTAAAAAACTAGCCATCTTGCATAGACTAGTATAAAAGATATATGCAAGGCACATTTTCCACGAAAAACAGAAAATCGATTTGTGTCTAAAAGAGAAGACCACAAATAAGCTGTAAATTCGAGACAACGGGAGAGATTAATAAACAGTACTTATTGGGTTCTCCAAGAGTTTGAACACACTGCCAATCATCACTATCACCTTCATCTGCCCAAACCTGGAAGAAAATCCATCCCATTCATACACAAAAGAAATAAATACAATGCTAAAAACCAAAAATCAAATTAAAAAGTCAGAGCTCCCTTTCGCAATTGCAATACCTTAACATTATTATCATAGCTACACGAAAATAAGATATCCTCGGTGGGATGCCACTTCACCATTTTCACATCCTGCGTATGTCCTTGCAAAACTGACACACACTCAAACTCATTCCCCGGTTGCACTTCCCATATCCAAACCGATTTATCCCTACTACATGTCGCAAGCAACGTTCCAGACGCATTCCACGACACACTCTTTACTTCATTCTCATGTCCCTATCCGTAAAAAACCACACGCATGTCAAACTAAACAACAGTAATCAATGATTACACACATCCAATCGAAAAAATAATTAACAGGTTCAGAGTAAAATTTGCAGTCAATAACAAACCTCCAAAGTAGAGACGCACTCAAAATCACCGCCAACATTCTCCCATATGGCAGTGGTGGCATCGAAGCTTGCAGTTGCCAAGAGTTTCCCCGACGGTGACCACGAGCACGATCGAACGGTTCGAGTGTGCGTTTCTTCCAAAACGGCCTGCATTTGATTTTGGTGATAATTTATAATCAATTGTGAAGTGGCGAGTTGAAAAATTGTGAAAACGATGAGAATTGAGTTAGGAAGATACCTTTGAGGCCCAAAGGCCAGAGGAGAGGTTCTGCTCCCAGATTCGGACGGTTTTGTCGCCGCTGCAAGAAGCAAAGACGAGTGGGATACCGGCGTGACCGGTGGCAGGGTTCCAATCCAAGCTCCAAACCCTATCGGTGTGACCTTCTAGTCTCTGAATCTCTTTCAACTCCATCGATAAGGGATTTTAGTCTGCAATCACATACACTCTAGTGTTAAGTTATTTCCTACTTTTCTCACATATGTTTTGCACGCGCCAGAGGCAAAGGTGAAAACGATTTCCCCCGCACAAACAAACAAAAAAGGGTGTAGACTAATGCGCCGCCGCCAATGAGGGAAGAGGAGTGCGCCAACGGGAAAACTAGTTGAGTTTTTACTGTTTGGCTGTGTAATGTGTATCGTAGGATCTGATTGCTGTACAACAAAGTTCATGCGAATTGAGTAGTTTCATTGTCAAATATCTCTCTCTTTTTAGGTTTCACTGCGATTTTGTTACAAATTTTTTTAATATTATTATGTTAAATAAGATTAAATTAAGTGATAATATTTTTAAAAATACTAATAAATTAATTAAAAATATGCGATATAACAAAAAATGTTAATTATTTATTTAAGTTTATTATTAAATATATATTATATATAAACACTGTTATTTAATAATATAGACTCGTATTTAATGTGTAAAAATGGATATTGTAACAAAGTGGGTTATTAAAACTCTAATAAGATATAAATATATATAAGAAAATCTAAATAAATATGAAGGTGGGTTATTAAGCATGAAACAGGCCAGCCAAATTTGGGACAACATAAGTTGAACAATTGAAGTTTCCATTTTATCGGAGTCACAGAAATAAAACTCGGCTACAATTCTAACTCGTGTTATATTTTAAATCGTCCAAAATAACTAAAGTCCAATTAATTTCTTGTTTAAAATAGATAATGCTAAAATTAAATAAATTTAGATTTAAAAGTTGCTTTTTATATTTTATTGGGTTTAATCGACCGATCTAACTGATACAACACATTTTATCAATTCTAAAAATATTAATATGGCTTGTTCCAGCTGCTTTTTTTATGAGACAATGCAAACAAGACTTTTTCTAACAAGAGCCCTTGTTAGCGCATACGTGTGAAATAACAAGCACAATAAAATAATATATGCAATATAATTATCGAGTTATTTCTATAAACAACCCTAACGAGAGGATTTTTTTGGGTGCAAAACTCTAATGAGAGATAAATATATATATTTTAAGAGAATCTAAATAAACAACAAACCATATGGCATCGAAAAAAACAGCCTTGTACAATTTAAGTTCGTGGCCATTGGTAGAGTTAAAACTCGATTACTTTTTAACTATATTACTTTTCTTAAAAAAAACATTATTTCTTAGTTATTTCTCTTTTTCTTTTCGTCTATTCCGTGTTAACCAACCATTATTTTTTATCTCTTATTAATGTTTTTTTTTTGGTACATATACGTGTATTGTTAAATTAAAATATTTTTAATTAAACCATTAAAAATATATTATATAAATATTTAAAAGTGATAATTATTAATAAATGTTCTATTATATAAAAAACAAACAAAAAATTAAGTAAAAAACGGATAAACAATTCAGGATTCAAATTGTTAGTAAATTAAAAAAATTATGTAAAAAACAACACTTGACATGCCGAGAGAAAAAAATATATAGTATTAAAAATACTCTTTATACAAATTTTAAAAATCTTATCTTATAAGAATTTAATAAATACTATTTAAAGTCTTTTTTATAAAAAAATTAAATCACTAGATCAAATAAAACAATTAAGTCAGTTATATTTTTTATAAATATAAATTTTATTCTAATAATATTTATGATATTAAATAATATAATTAATAATTTATATATTTAATAATATTAATAAAAAGTATAAATTTTTTTAATAATTAATATATCTTAAATTTATTATTTATTTTTTATAATAAAAATTATTTTATTTTATTTTTATTATTTAATAATATTTTATTAATTTATCGTTCTACTGCAACTAATATAGATGCAAAAGTTAACACTTTTTATCTTTCACAGCAATATCTGATAGTCAATGCTAACAGTGCAGGAGTTAGTAAAATTACTAGCAGTATAAGTATAAGTGCAGGACAATAATATTACTTGTTTGACACATGTAATAAAACATTATTCTATCTGATAGTCCAACATGTAATGCGATTTTTATCCATTTCACTATATGTATACTCTCCATTAGTGCAATCACCACATAAAGCAGAGGAGAAGTTTATGAACATTTAACTTGAAAGTCCATATAATTGCACTGCACTCATCCTCTCTACATTTTACTGGAAATGTTTCATATTTTTATTTAACATCTATAATTTTTTTTTCATTTGTAACTGTATAAAATAATTCTATATTTTTTTAAATTACCATATCTTCTCTACACCATAGTGGCCAATGGCCATGGAATAAAAGGAAACTTTTGGCCCATTGCAAGCCCAGCTTCCCAAAGGGTAACAGCTTCTCCCCAAAGGACATCTTATAAGCCCACGTAACTCAACAAAGAACAACTGCAGCAAATGCACAGAGAGCCATGAAAGCAGATTTAACGGCCCATTTCTTTTTGACTATGCTTCCGTAGAGGATGACTAACCCTGGCATGCTTTGAATCTCTCCACAAGGGTGGCTGATACCATTTGCCATGCGTTACCACCTCCGTTCAACCAGCCAAACTTGTCCATACTTGGTATGCTAAGGCAACGCGTTCGCCGGAGGTGTACCCATCCAACCGTTGCTTAATTAAATTGTTTGCTGCTTTCTGTGGGGCAGTGCAATTTTTATAACACCAACGGAAAGTGTATATATTAGCCTTGGATGAAGTGGATAAAAGCTGTATTACATGTTGGACCATCAGATAAAACAATGCTTCGATACACACGTCAACTTCTGATGTATTTTGACCAATGACTATACTATCAACACTAACTATCCAATACTGTTGAAAGACATGACATATGTTAACTTCTGCAATTGTATTGGACATACAGAAATGATTCTATGGCTGATTTAACAAAAAATAATACTAAAAAAATAAAATATTAAATTTACCCTATTTTTAAAAATTAATTTTAAAAAGTAAATTATTTAAATAAATAAGTCCTAAAATCCACCTTTATTAAATATCTACGCTCTTTATCGACGGAAAAAGAATAAAATTACCCTCTCACCCAGCTGATGCTCATCTATCCCCAAGGGCATATTGGTAAAACAAATATCCCCTTGCAGTCGCGGGATTTAACTTGTACAAAATCCCAAAATTGCCCCATTCCACGTCATCCAGTCTTCTCCCGCGAACTTTCTGAAAACACCAAAAACTTGAAAATTACCCGCTCTAATTTTCCCTCTTTTAAAAATCTTCAGTTCAAAATTCCAATCCTTACTTAACTCCCCCAATTTCCAATTTCTAACTCAAACCCTTCCCTAATCCCTCTCCAATCCATATTCCCTCCAAATCCCAATCATAATGCCTGCGATTCCAGAAGAACTACTCCTTGCTGCAAACCCAGACCGCTTCTGCATGTTCCCAATCCAATACCCCCAAATTTGGGAAATGTACAAGAAAGCAGAAGCATCCTTCTGGACCGCCGAAGAAGTTGACCTCTCCCAAGACCTCCGTCATTGGGATTCCCTGACCGACGGCGAACGCCACTTCATCACCCACGTCCTCGCCTTCTTCGCCGCCTCCGACGGCATCGTCCTCGAAAACCTCGCCGGAAGGTTCATGAAAGAAATTCAAGTCTCTGAGGCTCGCGCCTTCTACGGCTTCCAAATTGCCATCGAAAACATCCACTCCGAAATGTATAGCCTCCTCCTCGAAACCTATATAAAAGACTCCAAAGAAAAAAATCGCTTGTTTCGGGCCATCGACACCATCCCCTGCGTCTCCAAAAAAGCCCAATGGGCCTTACGCTGGATTGAGGCCTCCGATTCTTTCGGTGAACGCCTCGTTGCCTTTGCTTGCGTGGAAGGGATATTTTTTTCTGGAAGCTTCTGCGCGATATTTTGGCTCAAAAAGCGCGGGTTGATGCCGGGTCTCACTTTCTCCAACGAGCTTATCTCGCGAGACGAGGGACTTCATTGTGACTTCGCGTGCTTGTTGTACTCTCTTCTGAGGAAGAAGCTCAGTGAGGAGCGCGTGAGGGAGATTGTGCGTGATGCTGTGGAGATAGAGAGGGAGTTCGTATGCGACGCGCTTCCGTGCGCTTTGGTGGGGATGAATGGGGACTTGATGAGTCAGTATATTGAGTTTGTGGCGGATCGGTTGCTGGACGCGCTTGGGTGCGGTAAGGTGTATAATGTTCAGAATCCCTTCGATTGGATGGAGCTGATATCGCTTCAGGGGAAAACTAACTTCTTCGAGAAGCGCGTTGGAGAGTACCAGAAGGCTTCCGTTATGTCTAGCTTGAACGGTAACGGAGGGGCACACGTCTTCAAGATGGACGAGGACTTCTAATTGATATTTATGACCCTTTAATGTTTATTTTTTTGTTTCTCGTGTAATTATACTAATATTATATTATTGTTATTATTTTCAATTCATTGAAGTAGAGGTATACATTCAGTTTATCAAATACCAAATATCATTCAATTTTACAGAAGATTCCAGGCCTCTTGAAGGGCTGGGACATCTGTATGACAGGAAACCCGTGTACCTGTTACTGAATAAGCGGAGTAGCTTAACATTTCAACTATACTTTGATGGATAGTTGGATACAATGCTTGCATTCCTTGAAGGCTTATTCTATAATTTGGCTTGGGATTGGTATAAAGTGATTTTGTTCTTGCCATGTATAAAGATTTTGACGATGTTCATTGACTGTACATTGTTATGAATATCTTTTACTCGTTATAGTATGTATTTGGATTAATTTATGAATTTTGTGACCAAAGCATTATAACGAAAATCTGTGTTTTGAGGGAAAATTAAATCCCTAACGCTTAATCTAATTAAAAAATGCATCTAATTGTTCTAAAGTTATTTAGAGTCTTTTTTATTTTTCATTTCTTTACAAGCTTTTCCCTCAGACCTTACACAAAAAAGTAGGAATGGAAAACAGTTCTGTAATGCAAATTGGCCTTTATATCTGTGAAGCAGGGCATGGAGAAGAATTTTCATAAGAAAATGCTCAATCAACGAAAGTTACGTGAGCAGGTAAAAATTTTAGCTACTGGATGTAATTTTTGGTGCTTTAGAATCATGGTGAAAAGGTAAATCCTGGCATGCAAAAGAAAGGAAGATTCATTTCGAAACATGCTTCGACTAAGACAAAATACTGGCAGTCTATTCACTCACCAAAACTCAACTGAGTTCTAATTGCAGTCAATTTATGGTATGAACTATTATTGCACTGTATTTGGTTTTGGTGCACCTAACGGTTTACAGGGACTATTGTGAGTAGATCTTAAAAATTATTTAGATGTAAGGGTGATTGGTTAGAGGACAAGGAGTCTATTCGAAAATTGATGAACAGTCTACTAATATGACTTTTTTTTTTCTTTTTGGCTTTCTTAGTTCAGTACAATTAGTTCATCTGATTGTTATATGACTTGTTTTTCTCATCAAAATGACAATCTTTATTCCCGAGAGCTTGGTTTTTATTCTGCCATTTACACCAGCAGATGGAAAATGCGAATTATCGAAATAAGGAATGTAATTTGGTTTTTATTCGAAATGAATCTCCCTTTTTTTAACATGCCAGTATTTACACAGGTATATTTGAACCACGGCTATGAGACACATTTCCATTCTCAGCACGACAATTTAGCTCTTTCCTTTCCATTTTAGTTGTTTAAAAATTAAAGAAAAAAAACTAAATTACGATGAAGGAAGGAGCTTCTGTGAACCATTAAATCCTGATAATAAAAAAAATTAAAGAAGACGTTTACGGTTTTTTTGTTTTTGTTCATATTTGGTTACTTTTTATATTTTAATTTTTTTATTAATGAAATAATATTTTAATACTAAATTAGTTTTTTAAATTTTTTTTCTGTATTGAATAAAACTCTGCAATATGCAACTTATTAATTTTTACAAATTAATGTACGAAAAAAGCTATCGTAAAAAATGACTACCGAAATATCGTATTAATTCTGACATGGAATTGAATTCTAAGAACAATGAAGCCCAGCCCATAAAGACAGGGGTCCGGTCCAAGTGAGATCCTAAAGTCCGTTTGAAGCGGTGACCAATTCCTAATTTCCGATCTGAATTTAATTTGCATTGGCAAGAGAAAGAGGGAGGAAGGAAGAGAAAGGTAACCCTAGAACAGAGAATCGAAACGAAACGAGTGCATCTGCAAAGTTAATAGCCATGGAATCTGCGGCTCGAAGAAGAGGAGGAGGCATTTTCGAAGGCCTTTACAAGGTCGTCATGCGTCGCAACTCTGTCTATGTTACCTTTGTCATTGCTGGTGCCTTCCTCGGTGAACGGGTCCGTCATTTTTCCTTTCTCTTTTCTCTTTTTATTCACCGTTTTGTTATTTTTTCGCTGAGTGATTTATTCCTGTTATTGGTTGCAGGCTGTTGATTATGGTGTTCACAAGCTCTGGGAGCGCAATAATGTTGGGGTAATAAACCTTCTTTACTCTATGTTTAATCTATCGTTGATGTTATGGTGCATGTATTGCCATATTCAGTTAGTTTTCCACAACAACAACCACAAACAAACCTTATCCCACTAGTTAGTTTTCTCAGACAATAAATTTGACTGGGCAAATTGAGACGATGCTCTTGTTGGATCTGATGTTGTATTTAATGTTTTATTTTTTGTGAAACTTAGAAGGCGTTTTTTCCGTCAAATTTACATTCTTCTGAATAATATTTGTTTCTAGATCTTTATATTGTGCGTATAACTTTTGAAGGGATTAAGCTTCTAATATTTCTACAATTCTACTGTTTCGATTGCAATAAAATATAGTCCATGGTATTTTTTCCCTTTCTTTATTGAACTTATGGATGTGGTTTTGAAAAGATCTCTTAAGATTTCTTGTTTTCTATGACTATTTATTGAATTGTTGGTTCACTTTAACATTATATTTGGAATCTATGACCATCAATCATAGCGAACATGAAATGGGTGCAATCTTTTTGGCTAACACCAGTAAGGGTCCAAGAATTGGTTGTTGTTGTACTATGACTATGACTACCAATTAACTTAATTTCTTGCTACTGCAAAATAGAGCACAGTTTATCACAATTACATCCTAGTATATTAGATTTATAATTAGATCACTATGTATGTTATATTCAATTGGATTAGGCTTGGTTTTTCTCTGAAAGGTTTTTATATTAATATTAAAAGATCTATAAGCAGATTTTGACTGGACAACAGTGTCAAAATTGGAAAAAGTCTTTAGGTTTCCATCACTACAGAATGTTAAAGCATGCAGAGGAATGGTTTTCATCTAATTACTTCATAATTGTTTGCACCTTATACTAATTACTATCCGTGTAAAGTTATAGTCAAGGAATTCTAAATACATGCATGGTCTGTTAAGTTTTGTGTGCCACAACTTATTTTTAGTGTTTAATAATGTCACATACTTAGGTACTGCTTCAGTAGGTTGTGCCTATGTTCCTTGTTTTTTATATTATGATGTTGAATTCAATGTTTATAAATACTATTCAATTGTAGTTTACAAATAGTTTAACATCACTTTGGCATTTGAGTCATCATATTGTTTGCGGATGATGCCATTTTGACACATCATAGTTTTGCTTTCACTGATCAGTATCAACTATATTATTCTTGTTCATCCAACATCAATTTCGTTGTTTACCATGCTTCGGTTGCTTGCCTCCCAGAAGAAAAGATACAGAAGAAATGGCTTTTCCTTCTCTAATATGGTGGAAAACACACACATAGACGCATACACTCACTCTATCTCTGATGTAGCCCTTTCCTTTTTCAATTTCCTTGTCTCAATAACTCAAAATTATCTAGGGGCACAAGTTGGTTTCTGTTGCCAATTTTGCTGTCTCTGACTTCACTAACTAGTTCTTTCACTTGTCTTTTCTCTGTCACGTGTTGACAAGCTTGCTTCCATGATTGATCTCTTTCTGAACTAAAAGTTAAAAAAGATGCTGTAATTGGTATTCCATTGTTCAAAATAAGGTAGCGCTGGATAGAACTTATATGTGCAAGAACAGGATGGAACATAACATGAGTTCTGTTCTATGTACATCTTGAAAATAGAATATAACAAAGCAAGAGGTTAGAAAATGGTGCATTTTGGTCCATTGGTGGAACCAAGGAGAATTGGACTTCCATTTTGTACATGTACCAAATGCTATGTAGGTTTTCTTCTGGCGTTCATTATTTTTTATTTTTTTAAATGATCAAATATAGAGTAAAAATCATTGTTGATTAGGGGTTGAAGGCCTGATTAAAAATGTTGCCTTGGTTGATATTCCGTTGATGAAAGTGTTTGCTGTTACTCTCTTGTTTCTTTTGTCCATCCTAATCTAATTATTTTTTATCTGAAATAACGTTCTCATTTGTTAATGAAACTAATTGTTTAGAGAGATTATATAAAATCTAATCAAATAAGAGTCACAATAGAAATGTTAAGGTGTAAATACGCTCTCCATCTGTTTTACCATGAGGAGAGTGAAAAGAGAGGGGGAGAAGATTGTGTATTCACTAAATGGCTGAATCTTGGAGCTACATGTTTGGGGCATGTGCCCATTTTTATATTTCTGATTTTGAAATGCATTTCTTTGCCTCATTTATGCTTGGCAGAAGGTTAATTCATAGTATCAATTAAAAAATAGGTGGGAGCGATCCTGTATGTCTAATTATAGGCAATTTTGTGCCGTCTAACCCATCTATGCTAGAAGACACTGTATATTAGTTGTAGTGCTGTACCATTTTGCCAACCATTTTTTTTAATGATTCTAGTGTTTAAGATGCAACTATGGACACTCTGGTTTTTATAATGCAATTTCTTTTGCAGAAACGATATGAAGACATTCCTGTGCTAGGGCAAAGACAATCAGAAGAGTGACCATCTTGTTAGCCATTTTTGAAGTTTTAATAGAATTTGGAAATTTGAAGTGAATATTCCCTTCTGGAAGCATTTTCCTTTTTGCAATAAGTGCGATATGCTTGTCTCTTTCAGGCTTAACTCTTATGAGTGGTTTCATTTACTGGCTGATGGAAATATTAAATATTGAACCACTGCAGAATTCTGTATTTTTTTTTTTCAAACAATCTATTGGGAAGTATTGTTTATGCCAATTGCTGGATTTCAGGTTAGCCTATTTTGTGAAAGTTTACATGTTCTAAAATAATAAATGGTCAGTAATTTCATTTAACAACACTAATGATTAATGACATCAAAATTCTTGTCGAGAATATATTCAAAGCAGCTGTGCAGGGAGTTTGTTGTGACCTATTGATGCTAGGAGTGTTGGAGTAAAAAAAAAAAAAAAGTGATAATCTTAAAAAAGTTAAATGAATGTCTGGAAACACTTAAATTTAAAGAAATAATTGTTTATTTCTTAAATATTCTTTCAAGATATATATTGAAAATAATAAATGATTACATATTAAAAGTAATTAGAATAAAATACGCATTAAGATTCTACAAGCAAGCATGAGTTAACCAAGGCCATTATGTGCAATAGACTGAAGAAGATGGATTGGCACGTGTCCACATTTTTCCGTAATGATTGCTGATGGCTGGTAAGGCTAAAAGTAACAATTGAAAAAATGAACTGTGTATAATATGAATATAAAATAAATTTTCACAAGAAAATGTTGAAACCTCATTGTAATTGGCCAGTAAAATTTTTGAGTTCACGATCAAGTGTGTAGAGGTTTACCTTAAATTCAAGGGTTATTATAGTGAAAGTAAGTTAGTAGTATTACATATAATTTTATTAACTTTAATTTTTATAATTGAGTTTACATAATTAATAATAAATTTATATTAAAACTAAAGTATTTATTATATTTTTATGTCATAAATATAAATATTAATATTAATAAAAATGTATTAAATAGTATATATATATATATATATATATATATATATATATAAAACTGTGTAGTTAATATAATAACAATAATAATAATAATACTCTCCAATCTATTGTAATTTTTTATTTTCTAATATTGCTTTTAATTATTGATATATTGTTTGAGTGTTTAATTAATTTATAATTATATTGTAACTCTCTTAAAACAAATTATGTTAATTTAAATATTTGTATAACTAATAATTTTATTATGCGGTGTGTATTGTCTTATAAGAGAACATGGAGGCGGTTGGAGGCAAAGTATCTGGAAAACAAAAAATGCTCAATACGTGTAAATAGTTGTGCGGGGAAAATTCATAATCACAAGTGGACCAAAATCGCAGAGAGCAACAGAAATTCAAAAAAGCAGAAGAAAGCAGTGTAAGAAAACATGTTTCCTGTTAGCAAACCCTCTGTTTCTCTGCAATCGAGTATGGTTCCCTCGATTCCTGTGAAACCCAACATACACTCGTCAACTTTCTCTATCACCAACTCTGCGTCTTCCGGCGAGAGAATCACCACGCGCCGACGAACCATGTCACCATTCGAAACCCGAATCTCTCTCATTTTCGCCCTTGCTTCTCAAGCCACTTCTCTATCCCAGCGGCGTAAATGTTCAAAAACAAATATTTCTCGTGATTTTCTCTCGCAACCTTTCCTTCTTTTTTTCACTCTGCAATTTTTAATTAATTCATGCCGCAGTTTTGGCGGATGTGACCACTGAGACTGCAAAATACGTGTTTCCGAAAAGATTTGAAAGCCGCACTCTCGAGGAGGCGTTGATGACTGGTACGGAGTTAAATTTCGGTGTTAAATATACAAATTGCTATTAATTTGTTCCTTTTTTTTTCTTGCGTAATAACTGTTTCGGTGTTGGAGTTTCGTTGCAGTTCCGGACCTTGAGACTGTTAAATTCAAAGTTCTGAGTAGAAGGGAGCAGTATGAGATCAGGGAAGTTGAGGTGTGTGTGTGTGTAGCTCCCTTTCTTTTTTGATATGAAGTTGTGGTTCAGTTCACTGTTTTCTAAAGAGTAATGTGATTTCTTCATGCTTTTACAATGCATTCCAAACATAATTTTCAAATTAATAATTATTTATTGATTTCTTAACCATTACCTCTAGGGAAATGGTTAGCAAAACCGTATAAATTATTGCATTCAGGAATGGAACCTATTGTATGATTTATTAAGCTTCCTGCATGTAGAGTACTCAGTTTACTTGATGTTGATATTTTAGGTTTTAGATTTGATATGCTGTTACAGAATCCTGGCATACAAGCGGATGCCTTAACACTTCCATGCAATGCTAAGTGCTTTACTGTCACTGACTAACCATTTGGTCTTGGGAATGTTTCCCCATGATCTGATGATTATCTTTGCAGCCTTACTTTGTAGCAGAGACAACAATGCCCGGGAAGAGTGGGTTTGATTTCAATGGTGCTTCTCGGTCCTTTAATGTCCTAGCTGAGTACCTTTTTGGTAAGGTAGTTATATATTTTAGAACTGAACCACACTCATGCATTTTAAAATTTTACTGGGTTGTGTTTGGCACTTCCCCTTTTTGTTTTCTGCTTCTCTTTTGAGAGAAGAGAGAAGTTATACATGCGTGCTGTTGTTGTGATGGTAGAATACACCGAAGGAGAAAATGGAGATGACTACACCTGTTTTCACAAGTAAGAATCAATCTGATGGGATCAAAATGGATATGACAACTCCCGTGTTAACAACAAAGGTATTATGATTTTTTTTTTCATGGATTTTGTGAAAGATCTCAAATACAATCTTTTCATATGCATTGGCAGAAAGTTAGTAGTGTTATATTTTTAATTTAAGATGAATTCATTTCAGCAAAGATAACTATAGAAACATGCCTTTTCATATCATGGCAACACTAGCTAGTAAGTAGTAACTAAAATGCCAAAGCTAAAACCCCTGTAGGCACAACAATTGACAAAATTTTTTGTTAATAATGGCAGTGAAATTATTCCATCCCTCTGGAATTCAGGTTGAATTGAAATAAAGCTCTGCTGATGATTCAACAATGGCTAGACTGCCCTTGCATATTTTGTCAGGCTGATATTTCATGATCTTACCAAAATACCGAGCTAACACCTGAAAATTCTTTTGAATTCATAAATTCTTTAATGTATGGGCTAATTAATATGTAAAGTTGTAGCTCTGTCTGATAATAGTTTGCAGTTTGGATAAATTGATACTGTTCTTCTCTTCCCCTTAGCAATCAACTATATCTATCCCGATAAGATATCATTTTAACTTTATTATCTTCCCTTTTTTTTTTCTATTTTATGATATATATCCAGTGTACTGGCATCACATTGCTCTTAAATGTGGATTTTATGATATTATTTTCTCGAAGTTTCATATTTAATAATTAATACCAGAATGTAGTTGGGAGCTATTTTTTCAATATGTATTTATTTTATGGTGTTCTAATTTATCAATGATATTATCTTAGAATGAAGATCAAGATAAGTGGAAAATGTCTTTTGTCATGCCATCAAAGTATGGTGCTGACTTGCCACTACCCAACGATTCCTCTGTGAGGATTAAAGAGGTGCCCAGAAAAATAGTTGCTGTAGTTTCTTTTTCAGGTGTGCTCTTGCCCGGATGCTTTTGGCAAATAATTTATATTTAAACTTAATTTAGTTTCATATTTCCCCTGTTGTTTGTTATTTGAATTTTAGATGCAGAAAGGCATTACTATTGTGAGGAAGCATAAATAATAAACAGTTGATTTATTCTGATCACATGTATATTTATATCTATTGATGTGTGTATGTTGATCTGGATGTGTTAAATTCTTGTTTGCTTTTTGGGTGCATGGATGTGTTGCATTTTTATTTCAATAGAATGTTGGTATGCTTTGAGTATGAATTGTGCTTGGCTAACCATAAAGTTATATAGAAGAGTAAATCAGACTGCCCTAAACATTTGTATTGCAGCATAAATGATAAAAGTTCTATCCAAATTTAATTTATCCTCAATCAAACATATAATTTTCTTTTCTTTCTACTGAATCAGGTTTTGTGAATGATGAAGAAGTTAAGAAGCGTGAACTAAAACTGCAAGAAGCTTTAAAAAGTGACAGGCAGTTTAAAATTAAAGAGGGAACTTCAGTAGAAGTTGCACAGGTCAGATTCTTAATGCAATATTGGGTTCAAAGGTCTCTGAACTTTACCCATTGATCCCTTCTTCAAATGTCAACTATGCTTTTATTTTCTGGCAGTATAATCCACCATTCACTCTTCCATTTCAACGCCGTAATGAGATTGCATTGGAGGTGGAATGGAAAGATAAGTAGGAACAATATTATAAGCCAATCTACAATCTTGAGGTACTTTTGAGTTTCCATCATTGCATTTATAAGCTGTAAAAGTTTAACCTGTTCAATATCATGAATTGGATTTCAATTCAAGATTTTTTGTACTCGATATTGATGCTTGCCTTTTTTGTGTATAAATCTTGTACTCAATATTGATGCATCTCTTTTAATAAAAATATATAATGTGATTGGCTGTTTTACCATCAAATTGATGGGAGGGTCTACCTGTTTACGATATGTTTATATCTGGCATTGTTAACATGTTACATAATATGGAAATTTATATTTGAATTTTTTCAAAGTTACCTATAAATAGCTGGATCTAGAAGATTCATGTAAATCGTAACTTTCCCTTCTCCCATCTTGCTTTTTCAGATATACACCCATGCGCGCCTTGACTTTTTGGCAGTATTGAGAAGTTGGTTGATGGTTTGACATCTTTGCTTCACACCCCCCCCCCCCCCCCCCAAAAAAAAAAAAATGGAGAGAAAGACCACGTCATATTTAAATTAATAAGATCTGTTACTGTTCCTTAATGAGCTTGTGCACAAAATGTTAGATCAGTCTACGTAGGAATAGTTCATGATTTTATTGCTTCATAAAACATGTCTTATAGAATGCAGAAGAGAGACAAGTGTTTGTTCTAAATCCAAGACAATTTCCTAAACAAATCGAACTCCACCCAATACTTGACTATATATTTAGTAGGTGTATTATGTTTAACTCACCATGTCAGTTTTCTTATTTTATTCTGGTTCTGTTTTGTGGATGATGGTAATGTCAAACTTTATATCCACTTGTGATATCAATGATGGGTATGTTGACATGTATGCTTCTATATCCTTGATTTGGTTCTTTCTACAGCAATCACATATCAGGAAACCAAACGTTTAAGTTGTTAGTAAATAAGGAGGAAAAGATTGTGGTAAGCAATATACGCTCCTAGGGAAGAATAGGTTTGCGCCCGAAAATTGTTACTTGAAGAGGGCTAAACCATATTGCTCCATATGTAAAAGAGGTTAGTCTTACACCCAAAGGATGGAGAATACCTGGGAAACCAATAAATAACTAAGGGTTTTGTTAACCAATGCATTAATGATTAAGGAATAAAAAGTATAAATTTCATTGAAAATCATATTAAGGATGCATTAGAAATTGAAGGAGGAGGTGCATTAATAACATCTTTTAATAAAAAATTCTACCTCTGATTCCTTAATCAGTAACCCTAAGGCACTGATTGACATTTGCCAATAACTAATTGGAAAAGAGTGTGAAAGACAGCATTATAAGGAATGGCAGTTTACAGAAGGCCACGTGTTAGTACACTTGACAAATGTGCTATAATTGAGATTTGAGACTTTAATGGTTTCCATAGAGCCCTATTAGTTAGTATGTGGATATTGTGTTGAAAGATTTCATCTTTGTCTATTTTTTGAAGGCAGAATTTAAGATAATGGAACGTAAATAGAATGAGCGTTCTCTCCGTTGTTGATAGTCGACAGCTTGTCATAAGTATTAGGCTTTTTTTACTCACAGACAAGTTTCTCAATTATTGATCAATACTCAACAGGAACTAGTAACCATATTAAAAAAGCCCATAAAAGAAAAAAAAAAGGTAAAAAAAAAAAGCATGGGATCTCTTTGGTGGAGGACTAAGAATCAAAATTATTGTCCGAAGTTTACCTGGATTTCAGGATATCTAGATGACAGATGTCATCGCTGCCTTTTTTTTTTTTTTTAACAATATTACTGTTTCCTAACTAACAATTTACTATTTGTAATTTCTGGAGCCTAGCAGGTTGCCATGGTTGTTATGTAGATCTCACAATTTTTTTTAATTTATTTAAGTTTCAATAGGTAAATCTGAAAAAGGAATTTAGGCTCCAAGGGTGGAAAGTTCTATTGGATTATTTGGGCTTGGAATATTTTCACTTTTATCCTAGCCACCCTCCGTCGTAAAGTAGTGTGTGCACAACTCCCCCACCCCCGGTATTTTAATTCTCAGAATCTTGTTTTGTTGGATTTATGTCTGATGTCAAAATCGGTTGCTCATTAACCTTCCACGCTTTTTCCTTTTCTTTGTTGATTTTCTTTTCCTCCTTTTTACGATCTTTATGCCTTGTCACCTCCAACTTTTTTTTTGTCTTTTAGTATATGACTCTCAAAAAGCACTTTTATTTTCCTCCCATGAGGTTTACTACCTTTGTGAGTTGAGTATGGAACTATTCCTTCCTTGAGGGTCTGATAGGATGGATGGTGTTCCAATGGGATTTGAACAGCTGCACTGCAAATAATGTTTACCCACGTAATAACTGGAGTTGCCAACTGAAATTTTTCCTATCTTTTAGAACGTGACTGACTGTGTGTCCTCGCTCCCGTTAGCTTGTTGGTATCGAATCTAAACTTCCAAGCTGTTGCGACCCAAAAGCAGCAGAAAAGTTTGTAATTGTATTTGTACAACTATTATTTGGAAAGCATATCTCAAGAGATGGCCACCTTGTGTTCTATGTTGTTTTTCAACTAATTCAATTGGAAAACCCATTACAATGCCTAATAAAAGTTGAGTAGTAGTATAATCTACAAGTTGGAGATTTACTTTTTTGTTTGGGAGAGAATTTTTGGAAGGGAAGGGAGGGGATGACTTATTTTTATATTTTAAATAAATATATTTAAAATTAATAATTTTTAAAAATAAAAGATATAAATTAATATAATAATAAAAATTTAATGTATTAATAATATATTTATCATCCTAAATAATAAATAATTCTCTTAATATAAAATTCAAAAATAAATTTTCCTTTTCTTTTTTCTTCTAAAAATCCTCTCCTAAACATACTCTTAATGTTGTATGCCCTTAATGTTGTATGGTGCCGATAGTTTCAACTAATATTGCAGATCAAAGTGGGTAAAAGTAAAGCAGAATTTTAAATAAATAACATGTCTATGGTAGAAATCGTAGACACTTTCAACGAATATGGACGCTTTATTAGTTGACCCATCTCACCAGATTATATAGAGTACTGGCAATAATGGGAAATTGATCCAATGCAATAACACCGAGAACAGTATAGCGATAGCAATTTATTCATATTTTCTCCATAAACCTCAGTGTGAATGGCAAACATAATCATATTTTCTCCATTATTTGTTTTTTTCACGGGAGAAGTTGTATTAGCATTTGAAAAATCCTTGTTATTGCATAATTTTAACGGACTTTGTATCTTTTTAGAATTTTTAAATATACCCTAATGATATCATTAAAACTATTATAAATTTACATAATTAGGTTCACAAAACGTTGTTAAGAAGAGTCCTTGCTTTGATGCGTTATCATATCCTGAAAGATTTATCATCAAGGAGAGATTGTTATGGGAAACTAAAAATGGAAAACCATGTAACAACAAAATAGTTTGTAGCTAGTTGCAAACATTCATTGCTTTGCGAAAACGGTCATTACATTAGCCAACACCTATTTTCAAAATTTTAAAAAATACAGGAATATCATTTAAAATATCCAAATTATGGGCAAAAAGATACCTTCATGACCGTACTTTTTATTATTTTCAATTTATTCCTTTAATTGCTCAATTTTTTTTTTCATCTAACATTCTTTATTAGCTTTTCCATCTTAACACCATTATTAATGGTTCTTTTGTGACAATAGCGTCGTTAAATGTGCTTAGTAAAACTATGCCTTTAAAATGGAGTTACAAATGTTCACAAAAATAATGGAGTTACAAATAAAAAAAAAATGTTGTATGGAAAAAAGTTAGTGTATAAATTAAAGACTTAAATAAAAAGCTGAAAGCATTGTTTTTGCCCAAATTATTAACTTTAATGAACAATTGAGAGCGCTGGAGGGTTCACTTGAGCTGTTAATTCTTCTTCAAATAAAAAATTCTAAAGATGTGAGATTAATCATCTCATTTTGAAGTTAAAGTAATTCACAAACCCTTAAGGCTTACAGTTGCTAATAATAGACCACCTACCATACTCAAACCATTTATTTTTCAAGTTATTGGATCTTATCTGATTTAAGCCTCATACTTTTGCGGCTTTGCTATCTCAGTCACATATAACGTCTGCATTGCTATTTTTGCTGCATGCAATTGTAGTAAACCTCCCCCTTCCACATGGATTATATTTAAATAAAAGAAAAAAAAACAGAGGATCATGATTTACTGATATGGACCCTTATCTATTTCTTCATTCATCCTATCTTTTATTTGTTGTTAATATCAATTAAACCCTATACGATTCTGCAACAGATACCTACGATGCTGGACTTATTTGAAAACTCTTGCGCCCCGCATGCGGACACACATTTTAATGTTCTGGATTACATGAAGACGTTTGTAAGCTTGGATGTGATGATACTACAAAGTTAGCCTCGACGAGTAGATGCTGAAACTCTGTTCCCCTCCCCCCCTCCCCCCCCCCCCCCCCCCCCTCGATACATATATCTTGACACTGTGCAGGGAGAAAATGAATTTATATTCATACAATTTAAATATAAGCAGGGAGAAAGAAATAGTATTGGAACTTCAAAAGATTTTATATTCATACAATAAAAATATACAACAACCCACATAAACAAGAGAGATGAATATGAGATAAGATTAGTGATGCGGTGAAGAGGGATTGAGAGAGAAAAGGAAAATATTGTATAAATTGTTGTATAGTTTTGTTGTATGAACGTGGTATCTCCTTCAAATATATTGCTAGTTTAGTTCAGGTATGCTTTCTAACGCTGGTTTCCACACTTGAGAGACATCATCACTTGTTTGAGACAAATCTTTACCCTCAATTCTCTTTTCATCATGAACTAGAGACAACATCTTGTTAACTGAAAACCCTCCATTTTGCAGCATATCTTGCAGCTCTTGCTTACTAATAACCACCTTAATCCTAACCAAGCTACTTTGCTGTACATCTTGGACTTCTGGTTCCGCAAATCTCACCTTCTTGCATGCTTTTGGTGATGGTGGTGGCAAAGGTACTAGATAGTATAACTGTCCTCTGAGCAATTTTGTGTTTGGCTCAAGATGTTGTAGAACTGGTAGTGACTCAGATACTGCATGGCCAGCAAACTCTATCAAAACCTGTTTCACTTCGATGGGTGTTTTGTATTCAAGAATTTTCCCATCGGTTTTCATGATCCTCACAACATTCTCTTGCAGCACCAAGCAATTCCCCATGTTTTTTTCAGTTGTTGGTTGCTTTGTAAGCTAGATGCTAATTTATTTAGTACAACGCACTTGGTTTTGTGAACGCAAGAAAAGGAGCTACGAACCGTGCAATATTTAAATCAAGTGGTTGTGGAAAATACCCTTGTGTTGTTTCAAATATTGCGAAAATACCTGTTCTTTTTGTTGTTTTTGGTCTTTGTTGATGTTGGGATTGTGTTCATGTCCTTAGGCTGTTGTAGAGTGAGTGGGTTATGACCAGACGACCAGGGCCCAGTGCACTTGAGCATGTTGGATGGTGTGGGGCCCTCAAAAGCTCAAGTGGTTGACCACTTGTGCACTAAGGATTTAGTTGTGTTGACTAAAGCCTGTGCCACACTGACTAATCTGCTCCTCTACTGTTACATCAAAACATGCTCATATATGGTCGGCAATAGTGTTGAAAACATGTTGCAAAATTTCCCCTCCTCTGTTTTGTACCACAGGAATTATGGGCATGTTGTTTGCTAAAGAGATATGCATATATAGACAACAAAATGAAAAGAGTAACGTAGTTGCTTATGTCACAACCAGCAAACATGTAATTTTGTACCAGGGATTATTATCATCGCATGTACACTGCATGTGTAGCTACTTTCTCATGTTGCACTTGTTAAAGCTATATGTTTTTCAAAAAAGTACGTAATTAATATTCTTTTTTTTTTTTGGACAGTCGGGTATTCAGAAGTCATGTTAAGCCTTGATTAATCCAAGTTTTCTTAAGAGTGTTTTGAAAAAAAATTATAAGTTGGTTTTAACTTGTTTTGATTTATTTATCAAAATAAATTTTTTCAGTTCATGTTAATAAGTTTATGATCAAATTTAAGGTACAATTCTTTATGCAATAAGAACTTAATAAGTTATTGTCTTTTCAGTTGATAACAGAGAAAAAATAGGAGATAACAGAGAACTTAATTAAGTTGTTGTCCAAATGCACTTTAAGTCTAATCAAGTGAATCTGTTGAAAGAGATGAAGCTTTTCTAGTACTTGATCTTTCATTTACAAGACTCCAATTTAAAACTTTATTTTAAAAAAATCAAGTTTTTTACGTATTAAAACAATAGGAAGAGACAAGCACAATTAATAATCTTATATTTTCTGATAAGTTCGATTAATTTTAATTGATCAAATTATTAAAGTTAAGAACTAATGCGAGGTTAATACTGCCACATTGTACGCAATTAATTTATAGCTTTAGATATTTGAATTCAAAAACTGATAAATGTTATGATTATGTGTCCTAACTCTTAACCTAATCTATCCTCATTTCATAGAAGAAATTAAAGACAAGACGATACCCTCTCTTTAGCTTTCTTTTTGTGATAATGGTGTTGAGCTCAAATGCGGAATAACTTGGACGTGTAAATTAAAATTCTGGCGTAAACTGGCGAGCAATAATTCAGACCTAATAAATAGATCTAGCAGCGCAGCGGTGTAACTTGTAAAGTGTGCACTGAAATACTTCCCAGGAAAGAGAGGTGGATCACAACGAATCACTTAAATACCAGGTCTTTCCTTAGCCAGAATCTTTCCAGTTACAACACTAATACAAATACACACTTCTCCAGCAATCCAACAATCAGCCACGGAAGGATAACAAAAATAATTCTTTTCTGATGTGGAAGATCAGACTAAACTGCAACCACAGAGCATACTAAGAATTATTTTTAACTGAATAAAATAAGCAGATAAAGAACACCACTATTTAATGTGGAAAAACCTCCAATGTGGAGGAAAAACCACGGGACAAACTCCGAAAAATATTCCACTATATCTCAGGATATTTACAATATCCTTTCAACACTCTATCACACAAGAGGTGTAAAATATAGTGTACACAGTGAGACCCACTCCTATTCAAATATTACAAATTTTGTAATACCAAGAAGAAATAGAGATGATACCCACCCCAGTGTATTTTTCTCACACTCTTAGGATTTACTCAACACTCTATTTTTTTTTCTCTCACAAACACTCACAATGCTTGATGAAATCTTGTGTGTGTTGCTGCTTGTGCTTCCTTCAATTTCATTTCACGGCTATTTATAGCCAAATAAAGTTACTATTCATTTAATAAAATATTATTAATTGTTTATGAAGTCAAAAAAGGGGGCACCGAAATTGAAAATGTGCTGGACCTCACAATTCTCCCCCTCCAGCACAAAGGTGCACTCTTGGAATCTTCACATGCGATCTATGCCAATCAGCTTGGCACACTGTTGATGTTTTTCTCGTGCAACAACTTTCGTCATCATATCAGCAGGATTTTTATCCGTATGAATCTTATCTAGCTTGAATTCTTGTTCTTCCACTGCCTGACGCAGCCAATGATATCTGATATCAATGTGCTTCATACGAGAGTGATACATCGCATTCTTACTTAAATCCAATGCGCTTTGGCTATCACAATGGATAACGTACCTTTTCTGCTCAATTCCCAGTTGTTGAAGAAACCTCTTCAACCAAAGCATTTCCTTTCCTGCTTCAGTCATGGCAACATACTCAGCTTCAGTAGTTGACAAGGCCACACATTTCTGCAATTTGGATTGCCAAGATATAGCTCCCCCTGCAAAGGTAAACACAAGTCCTGAAGTAGATTTTCTACTATCCAGGTCACCTGCCATATCTGCATCTGTGTATCCTTCAAGAACTGGGTTAGGTATTCCAAAGCTCAAGCACATATTAGAACTACCTTTCAGATATCTCAAGATCCACTTCACTGCTTCCCAATGCTCTTTTCCAGGATTGGAAAGATACCTGCTAACAACTCCGACCGCATGAGCTATATCCGGCCTCGTACAAACCATGGCATACATCAAACTCCCGACTGCTGAGGAGTATGGAATACCCACCATAGCTTCTTTTTCTTCTTGACTTGTGGGACAACTTCTTTTGCTGAGTTTGAAGTGATTTGCCAACGGTGTACTAACTGGTTTAGCCGTCTTCATGTTGAATCTGTCCAGAATCCGATTCACATACCGTTCCTGCGATAACCACAACCTTCTGGATTTTCGGTCTCGCATGATCTGCATGCCCAAAATTTGTTTTGCAGGGCCCAGATCTTTCATATCAAAAAACTTTGACAATTCTTTCTTCAAATCACCAATCAGCTTCACATCCTGTCCCACTATCAACATATCATCTACATACAACAGAAGGATAATGAATTTATCACCTGGACATGTCTTGACAAATACACAATGATCTGCATCAGTCTTGGCATATCCATGACTCGTCATGAACGAGTCAAATTTCTTATACCACTGTCTTGGAGCCTGTTTCAATCCATACAAGCTCTTCTTCAATCTGCAAACCATGTGTTTCTTTCCAGTTTCCTCAAAACCTTCTGGTTGCTCCATGTAGATTTCTTCATCAAGGTCTCCATGAAGAAACGCAGTCTTCACATCTAGTTGTTCAAGCTCCAGATCCAAGCTAGCCACCAATCCGAGTATAACTCGAATAGAGCTCATCTTCACAACTGGAGAGAAAATTTCATCAAAATCTATTCCTCGCTTTTGTCCAAAACCTTTTACAACTAAGCGAGCCTTGTACTTCAACAGCTTGTCACCATCTTTCTTAAGCTTGAACACCCACTTATTTTTCAAGGCTTTTCTGCCTTTAGGGAGCTTGACCAACTCATAAGTATCATTCTTCACCAGAGAATCCATTTCTTCTTGCATGGCTTTCATCCACTGGGATTTATCCTTATGAGTCTGAACTTCTTCAAAGTTTTCTGGCTCCCCCTCTTCAGTGATGGTAATATACGTCGAACTAGGGTACTTTGTAGATGGCTGGTGTGGTCTTCTTGATTTTCGAGGCTGAGGTGGAGCTTCTGGGTTTTCTTGCTCAACACCTTCATCATCACCATCTTCTATTGCTGGCTCATTATCAACCCTAAGTTCTTCATCACACTCTCCCCCTACTGTGGCATTTTTAGGAGGAACAACTGGTGTAAGATCAACCTTACCACCTGGTTCTCTGATTTTTGGTGAAGCAGAATCCGACATAGTTTCTTGCTCATGGAACACTACATCTCTGCTTCTAATAACTTTCCTATTTTCTGGATCCCATAACCTGTAGCCAAATTCCTCATCTCCATAGCCCAGAAATATGCAAGGAATGGCTCTATCATCAAGTTTTTGTCTCTGTTCCTTATTCACATGAGCAAAAGCTTTGCATCCAAACACTTTCAAATGAGAGTATTTAACATCATGTCCGGACCATACTCTCTCAGGGATATCAAAGCCCAAAGGAACAGATGGAGATCGATTAATCAGGTAGCTTGCCGTTAGAACAGCTTCACCCCAGAATGGCTTAGGCAGTTTTGCCATTCTTAACATGCATCTTACTTTCTCCATAATGGTTCTGTTGATTCGTTCGGCCACACCATTATGTTGTGGGGTTCCAGGTACCGTCTTCTCATGCCTGATGCCATGCTCAGCACAATAATTCTTGAATTCATGGGAAGTATATTCACCCCCATTATCCGTGCGAAGACACTTCAAAGGTTTACCAGCCTGTCTCTCTACCATTGCATGAAACCTTTTAAAGCATTGAAAAACTTGGTCCTTCGTTCTTAAGAAGTACACCCACAATTTTCGTGAAGCATCATCGATAAACGTCACGTAATATCTGCTACCACCAAGACTCTCCACTTCCATGGGTCCACATACATCAGAATGAACCATCTCCAAAATATTCTCTTTCAGCTTTGACGTTTTGCTGAAAGACACTCTATGATGCTTGCCGAATAAACAGTGATCACAAGGATTCAACTTTGTATTTTTGGCAAACGGGATAAGGGACTTTCTTGCCAAAATCTGCAATCCTTTTTCACTTATATGAGCCAATCTTTTGTGCCACAAATTTGGCGAAGCATCATCCTCGACTGCATTCAATCCTCCCTTGATCAGCTTTACTTGAGTTTTATACAACGTTGAATTTACTGTGCCTCTAGCAACCAACAACGATCCTTTGGTAAGCCTCCACTTGCCGTTACCAAAATGGCTGTCGTAATCAGCTAGATCCAAAGCATGCACAG